AGTAAGACGGAGAGGAGAAACCTGCTCGAAATGCGGCGGGAGGGATCATTACGCTAGGGACTGTGCAACGGCTCGTCGAATGATGAGTGGAAACTAGCGGGTAATTATGGCAATGAACCCAGAATCGAAGGAGGGAGTATCGCGGTCAAACGAGAAGGCCTAGGCAGGTAGTGTGGTTTAAGGTTTAGAGTTTCGTGTATGCAGCCGTTTTGTGCTGCACCAGAAACTGTTGAAATAAGATATAGAGCACCGTAAACCCTAAACCCTGAGCCGTAAACGCTAAAACTCGTGAAAAAAGATACTGATTCCGCTTTCCAGTAGACACCCTATTTAGTAGCTTAGGGGGCTTTCCTGCCGCTGTGCACGGGACCCCTGCAGCTTGTTGATGTGAAAAACAGTTGCTTTCATCGTCTGTCATATATTCATAGAAACAGATCTCGCCACTTCGCTAGTAAAGCCACCATATTTCCCCACTAGCTAACAATACACCAATGCTCTTTGTTGCTTGTTGAATACACCAATTATATACCTTATATATCATGTATATCAATTATATTTCTTCCTGTTTAATAAACTCATCATATTTCTTCTTTGTTATGAAATGATGATGCACATTATATTAACAGACCCATTGTCTTACCTTTGTCAATAATAAACCCATTGTCTTTTCTTGCTGAATGAAGATACATACGTACCGAAGTATTTATATGTTTATTCTTTTTTCTAATATATTTCAATAATGTATATATATCTATATATCCTTTTAGTATGAAGGGCTTGACCGAAATCTTATTGTTTCTCCGCCGTGCAACGTGTGTCCTCGCCCTAAGCAGAGGACCACATTGAGCTGCAACAGCACCAAACGCATGCGATGTTATAATTAGAAAGCAGGGTATCGTATACCATTCAGTCCTTATCTGCTGCTGCTGCTGTGGCCTTCAGCAGCTGCCGCAGCGGTTCTTTCTGCACCTGCTGCAGCAAGGAGGCCCCGCATTCAGGTGGATCAAGCCCCGTTGGATGCATGCACTGGCTGCGTGGACAACGTTAAATGCTTATTTTCTCCGCAGCAACAAGTATGCATGCAAGGAGAAATTAGAATAATAACACCAACACCAGCCCATAGAGAACATGATAGAAGCAGCTTCGCTCGAAGACATCTGGCGATGAAAACAGCGGATGTAGATATGTTTAGGTATCAAACAAAACAAAAAATAAATACACAAACGCATTCTCATATATATATATATATATATATATATATATATATATATATAGTAGCGAATAGTAATAACANCTCATATATATATATATATATATATATATATATATATATATATATATATAGTAGCGAATAGTAATAACAACGCTAGATAACAATAGTGATATCAACGCATATTTTTTCTATATTGATGGAGGAGTGACTTCTGGGAGTAATAATGCAGGTATATATATCTCATATGTATCAAGGAAAAGTACACAAATAAAGATATATAATAATGAGAATACATATTTTGAGTGGAAAGCTGTATAATAACAGCCTACAATAGCAAGAAAAAGTGTGTACATCTAGTACATATATAAAGAAGCAATGTATCATAACAATATGCAATGATAATAGTAAAACTAAAACTAAATGAAATTAGAATATATTATACAACAACAGTAAGAGCAGCAATAAATGTGCATGCTCAGTAAGTGTACAAAGAAAAAATGTATAATGAGAATAACAATGTATAATAAATATAATAGTAGCAACAGTAATAAATGTATATATTATATATAATATAGGCAGTAAGAAATACATACTTCGGCGGGCTTGTCGAGTACAGGCGACACACACGAACCATATACGATGAGACTGGGCATACATTGCCGGGTTTATGGACAAAATTAATCAATTATATAATTAAATAAGTTATTATTAATTAATTAATTAGTTGGGGAATCAGTTGATAGAGGAATTGATGAGCCTCTTTGAACCGACAACGAACGGTTCAGCCAGCCTGGCGAGGCCCCGAGGGCGCCGCTAGAAGGCTACCCCCAGAGAAAAGACATTGGTGTAATTTAATATATCTGAAGTGAAATGAAACTGCAGCATTATGGAGATCCACTTTTCTCGCTTGGGGTGTATCTGCAGACACCGTGGCGGTGGATCGGTATACGGCGTCATGCTTCTCCCCCTCGCTGTTGGGAGCTGTTAAGCGCACTTTTCCTTATTCTTCACTCAAATATGATTCTGTCTCAGTGGCGCAATTGACATGAGGCGTAGAAGACAGCAACCAACGACGCCCCGCCGTCGGAGCCGCTAGCTACACCGCACACACAGCAACGAGACCAAGCAACAGCGGCGGCGGCAGCGGCGGCAGCAGCAGCAGCAGACACAGCAGCTGTCGCCTTCGCAGCAGCAGCAACAACAACAACAGCGGCAGCAGCTCCCACATCAGGGGCAGCAGCAGCAGCAACAGCAGCAGCTGGAGCCGCAGCACGCATAGCAGCGGTGCCTGCAGCAACAATGGCGCGCAAGAAACCCTTTGTTGCTTCTGGAGACCGGGAACGCAGCAGTAAAGAGGAGGCCAGCAGCAGCAGCAGCCCCAGCAGAGTCGAAACCTCTCAACACTCCCCAACAGATGCAGACGGCAGCGCTTTTCGCAGCATCAGCAGCAATGCTGAGGCAGCGGTGCCGGAAGGCAGTTGCTCAATCAAGAGCCAAAGTGCATGCGGCGAGTGCGGGGACACCGAAAGGGCCACCAGCAGCGCCAGCAGCAGCAGCAGCTGCGGCGGCAACAGCAGGAACACCAGAAGCGGTAGCAACAGCAGGAAGAACAGCACAAGCAACAGCAGCTGCAGCAGCAACTTCGTGAGCGATGACTTGCTGCGTGAGTTTGACTTCGAAGACTTCTCGCGGGCGTCTTGCTGGGAGCAGCTGCAGCACGAGTTTGTTTCCTGTCTTAGTGGCTTCCCCTTCGTTGCTGCTCGCCGCCGTTACCTGCAGCAAGTGGCAGATGGACATGCAGCAGCAGCAGCAGCTGCTGCTGCTGCTCTTCCTACTGGTTCTGGACGTGCTGCCTCAGAAATGCACAGTTATGCGACCTGCAGCAGCAGCTGGCACGCCTATGCTGTCCCTCCCCCTCGCTTCGCTTGCTTGTGCTGCTCCCCACAGCAGCAGCAGCAGCAGCAGCGCTGCGCACTGTCTCTGCAGCTCTTTGCTCCGCTGGTGCTGCAGCTTCTGCTGCCAGTCCCAAAACCACCTGCTGCGTCTCCTGATGCAGCTGAAGCTCCTCGGGGGTCGTTGCTGCGACTCACGTACACCTGCACTCCCCCGATGCCTGAACTCGGTTGCTGCTGCTGCAACAGCAACAATAACAGCAGCAACAACAACCACAGCAGCAGCAACAGCTGCAGCAGCGGGATCTCCGCAGATGCACCGGCAGCTGAAAAGCAGCTACAAGAAGACCAACACCCTTGGGATCCTTCTGTTTCCCCAGTGTTCTTCAGTAGCAGCAGTGGCTACAGCAGCAGCAGCAGCAGCGGCAAGAAAGAGCTTCGGTGCGGTATCTGCGCTGCATGCATTCTCCAGTGGGAGAAGTTCTTTCCCAGTCGCGCGCCATCAATACAGCGGAGCTTTGGCGGTGCGTTTGTTGGTGTTTGTTGTTGTTGCTATTTGTTGGTATTTGTTGTTATTTATTGTTTCGGTTTGTTTTTTATCGTTATTTCTGGTTGTTTGTTGTAAAAAATAAATGAAAACAAACAAAAACACCGGCATTTATTAGTTGTATTGGCTGCTGTCTGTTGCCTCTTCAGCCAGAGAATTCCTCCAACTCGAAACCGTCCGTCCACCCAAAGGAGCAGTAGCAGGAGCAGCAGCAGCAACAGGGAGCGCCGACCGGGGAACAGCAGCAGCAGCAAGAGAAGCTGCTGCTGCTGCTGTCCCTCTACAGGTCTCGAAGGAGACAGCCAGAGCAGCCCTTGGAGCTCTCGTCCTGGCGTCGCGCGCAGCTAAGCCGTGCCAGCAGCAGCAGCAGCAGCAGCAGATCCTCAGTCGGCTGCCGCTGTTCTCTGTCTACGATCCGCAGCACGGGGACTGCGTGGGTTCGCAGGTGCTGCTATGTGCAGAGCGTGGTGTCTCAGCACCTGCAGCAGCAGCAGCAGACGCAGGAGAAGCAGGACCAAACGAACGAGGAAGAAGTTCCCTCCTAATAAGGCATTACGAGTTGCTTTGTTTGCCTTCTGCCTTCGCATCCTGTGATCTCCCCAGTCCGTCTCCTTTGTGTGTCTGCGGTATTATGTGTGTCAGTGCGGCGTTGGGTGTCTCCTCAGCATGTGAATTGTCGCTGTCTCTACTGCCTCACTCGCTTGATTTGCCTATGTTGTTGTTGCTGCTGCTGCTGCTGCTGCACCCGCTGCTGCTGCTGCTCCGGTGTATTGTGTGCGCGTGCGCGTGTGTGTGCGTGCGGTGTGGGGTTGCTTGTTGTTTCAGCATTCCTGCATCTGCTGCTGCCGCATCTGGGCGCAAAACTGCAACACGGACGGCCCCAGAGGGAGCAGCAGCAGCATGCGCTGTCTGCGCTGCAGCAGCTGATGGTCTGCTCTCAGTACACATACTTCCTACCCGCGCCCTGGCAGCAGACACGCAGCAGCAGCAGTCAGCGGCCGGACGCTGTCCAAGCAGCTCGGCTCCTAGAGGCCGGGGGTTGGTGGCTGCAGCATCCCAACAACACCTGCAGCACTGGTACACACACCACCACCAGCAGCAACAGCAACAGCAACACCGGCACCATCCGCACCGGCAGCAGTAGCAGCAACAACAGCAGCAGCAGAAGCATCAGGCCAAGCAAGAACGTCGTCAATGAGTGGCGTGAGGCAGCTCTAGGTGCTGCATCTCCGTCGTTTGAGTCAAACGGCACGGTGGTGGCCTCAGCAGACAGGCTGCTGCAGCTGCTGCTGGTGCAGCGTTGCCCCTTTGAAGCTCTGCATGTGATATGGTGCTCGCCGTTGCAGCAGCTTGGCGACTTCTGGAGCAGCAGCCGCAGCAGTAGCAGACCGCTTGCTGCAGCATTCGATTGCCGCCTGCGGCTGAACCTCTACGCGCCCCTGCTGCAGGCCCACGAGAAGCTGCTGCAGCATTACAGCCTCTCGACCAGAACCCTGCAACAGCAGGCGCTGCAAGCAGCAGATTTCTTGCAGGAAGACACATGGCAGCAGCAATGCGGTGTCACTAGCCGTATTCACCAGCTGAGCCGCTTGCTGCTCCTCGCCAGCAGCAGCAGCAGCAACAGTAGCAACAGCAGCAGCAGCAGCATCAAGCAGCAGCCATTCGTCTCCTTGAGTTCAAGGGCCTTCCGCGGCCTCGAGCGCACAGGGAGGAGTGACCTGACCGCCCACAACACACGCATGCTAGGGCGCGTGTCCGCTGCTGCCAGCAAGCGCAGCAGACGAGGCAGCACCGTCAGCAGCAGCAGCAACCTTCGCAGCAGCAGCAACAGCAGCAGAAACAGCAGCAGCGGCGGCGAGATAAGCCAAGATACCAGTGCAAGAGAAGCTGAAGCAGCTTCCTTACACGCGGAAGTGCAGCAGCTGTTCAGGCCCATGACAGCCCAGCAACAGCTGCTGATACACCAGCAGCAAGTCAAGAGGCTGCTGCTTACAGGTAGCAGCTGCTTTAGTGCGTGCAGCTGCTGCTGCAGCGCCTGCGGATGCTGCGGCATTGACTTGGCATTTGGGCTGCTATGGGGGGGCAGCAGCAGCAGCAGCTTCTTCGCAGAGTTGGCGTTGTGCGCCGGACAGCAGCAGCAACTCAGCCAGCTGCAACGACTGTGGCAGCAGCTGCTGATGAGGTTTCGTTGGATGTGGGATCAGCAGTTGCTGCTGCCGCGTGTTGTTTCTGGCATTACAGCTGCAACTGCAAATGCATGTGCAATACAATCACCAGCAGCAGCACGAACAGCAGAAGCAGCAGAAGCAGCAGCAGCAGACGCAACTGGCTGCGAAGCCTGGAGCGCCCTAGCAGCGGGGTTAGGGGTGGCATGCTGCCCGGATGGCCCCATTGCGCTTCCGGACGTCTGCTGCTGCTCACTGCAGCAGCTGCTGCAGCAGCTGAACTGCGCGACGCAGCAGCAGCGGCTGCAGCAGCTCCTGCAGGGCATGCCGGAGAAGCAGAAGCAGCAGCCATTTGAGTCCTTACGATTTCTGCTGCCAGGACTTCCTCACCTCCACGAGCCGATTCTCCCCATTCTTCCCCCCATCACGGAGGCAAGCGAAAACCCTAGACCGTATACCCTAGCCCCAAAACCCTGAAGCGCGGGTTAAACCGTAATACAAGGGTTTATCGTATGGGGTGCATGCATGCATACCGGTGTCAGAATTGCTACATATTCGTATGGCAGCTTCCCCTTTTTGGTAAAGAGAAAATGCTTTAGTGGTTTCTGGGTCTGTTGTTGTTTTGCTGCTGACACGCAGAACACCCTTGCAATGCATGCGGCTTTACTGAGAGAACGCAGCAACGACGGAGCAGAAGCCGGAACTACTTTTGGGGGCTACTGTAAAGAGCTGTTGCGGCTTACAAATAAAGATACGTGTACACCTCAGACCAGCGCAGACTGGTGGCAGCACCGCTTTGCGCGGCTGCCCTGCAGCGTGGAGCAGCTCCTGAAGCAGAGAGAACAGCTGCTTCAGCAGCGGCGAGCAGCATGTTCGGCTGCTGTTGCTGCACTCCGCGCCACTGCTGACCCTCGCGAGGCGGTGCTGCAGTCTGCCAGGGCTGCAGTTGCTGCTGCAGTGACTGCTTTTGCTTCTGCTGCAGCAGCACCGTCAGAAGACGCGCAGAAGGAAGACAGTAGAGAGTTCCAACGTTCAGCAGAAGTGAACAGACAGCAGCTCTTTTTTAACAGCCTGGTTGGTCTCCGTGTTTGTTCTCCTTCTCTTGAATGGGAGGGTTATCTGCATGGGTTGAGGCTTGTGCACTGGCACTGCATGTTTGTTTTTGTCGCTGCAACTCTACTCTACTGCCTTTCTGTTGGTGCTGCTGTCTGTTTCGCGCTGCAGGTCGAAGGGGAAGGGGCGCTGCACGGCCTCGAGTCCATGACAGTAACGGAACTTCTGGGGCAGCTTTTGCGAGTGCTCGTCGCTTCGCTAGTTGAACAGTGTCGGCTCGCGTGTGCCTGTGTGTTGGTTGGCAACGGCCAGGAGAGCACGTGCTGCATCTACGCCCCAGGGGTTGCTGCAGCACGCTTTGGACGCAGCAGCAGCGGCTGCAAGGGCCAGTGGTTCCCGTGTCATATTCCTGCTCTTCAAGCTGCAGCGGACGACCTCCAGCGGCATGCGATTGCTCATGCGGCGGGTGCATCAACTGCAGCAGCTGCTGCTGCCGATGATGGGCTGGCGTGGATCCCGTCCCTTTCGCTGCTTGCTGCATGCATGCGATGTGAGTTCATGTTTTCTGCTGCTGTGGGACTGTGCAGACTGGTTGGCACAGATCCCCCGTCTCTGGCAGTCGTGAACCGCGCTTTGCAGTTGCTGCTTCTCCGGCTGCAGCAACAGGAGCAAGCAGCAGCAGCAGAAGTAGCGGCGGCAGCAGCCACAAGTTCCACCGGACGGGGAGATAAGGAAACTCACGCTGTAAGAAGGTTACCAGAGGCAGAGTGCGATATATTAGTGCCTATCCTATCTTGCAGCGAGAAGCGGGCGCTGCAGCAAATGCTGAATCGATGCCATGACGAAGCTAAGAATACCTCAGCAGCCGCAGCAGCAACCGCTGCTCCTCCGTGGGAAGCTGTCCTGCCTTGGCCTCCGTTCGCCCAGGAATTTGTATTACTGCTGCAACCACACACCGCCGACGGGAAGCAGCAGGATGCCCAGCGGCAGTGGGCATTCTACTGCCGCGAGCAGCACGCTGATAGAGCATTTGCAGTTACAGGAGGACGATACTTCCATTAGAGGGCTCGCTTCCACCTCGAGCTGCGCCGAGCTAGAAGGGGTGCATCCTTGCAATTAGCCAAAGGAATTTGCCTCATTTTTAAGTTGCACTATTCAATCCGTACTCTCTTTCTTGTATGGCTTTGGCTTCGTTTTCAGACCCTAGCATTACCCGTTAGCGCTAGCGTTCTCTTACCAAGGTTGTGCGCGACTTTGAGGTCTCTGTTTCTCTCGCTCCATAACCATTAGGGATTCGTGGGGATCGCTGCGTTGATTGAACAGCTGGAAGCTGCACAATAATTTCGCTCCCCCATAACGCTGGAAGCTGCACAATAAGTTCGTTCCCCCATCAATCTTCACTTGAAAACAGTATATGAGTCCGACTAATAAGACTTCCCATAGAAACACGCAAGCACGGCAAGCGGTTTGCAGCTTACGTCACGCTGTTGGGCTTCTGAAGACTTTCCAATCGTCATTATCCTGCGAATGCTTAACGCCCACTTACTGTGTGGGGCCCGGTAGAGCTGTTAAACGCCAACTATTCATCCCTTGAGAACATTTGAGCTGAAATGCTTTTTCAAGGGGCTTTGCCCTTACAAATGCAGGTCACTTGCGCGATCTTGCTCCAAAATATAAACATATTCATATCTATAATATATGTGTATATATATTATATGCATGCATATATCCGTATGTACATATTATATATATGTATGTAAACTACAGCACAGGCTTTATATGTAAATATAAGCGCTATATATATATATATATATATATATATATATATATATATATATATATATATATATATATATATATATATAATTTTCCTGGTAAATGATTGCGGCTAAAATTCCAATTGTACCAGGCTCTTGCAGTCGCAACCAGCGATACGACTTTCTGGGGGAAGCCCTGTAGTTTCAACCGGAGCAAAAGAATTCAATGTCAAACTGTCTGCTCAGGATACGTGAGACAAGCGGGTTTCGAAAAACTGAAGTCGTGACAGTTTAACTGGAGAGCAGCGCACATGAAGTTCTGCAAAATCTGCATTTTCAAGGGCCTCCTGCGCCGCGTTCCGCGACGATGAGCCATATGTACTAATGAGTTCAAAGGAGTTGCACGCCGTCATCCGCCGGCAATACTGTAAAAAGCAATATGGATTCGGGAGGTGCACGCTGTCACAATAGCACCTTGCGATATTGTGAGGGCCTGGAGCCGGCTGAAGGAGGTGACCGCCGCACCAGGAGATCCGCCTCGAGTCAAATCTGTGCTTATTTCGTTCCGATCAGGAATTGCTAGTTCTACTGGACACAAGCTGCGAAGCGGATCTGGTATCCATAGGGAAAGGCGAATCACTAGGGCGCTCTGCTGTACAGGCAGCGACAGAAAATGTTGCATGAGTACAAAAATGTTACAGCGTTCAACCTAGCTAGCACTTTTGAGGCCGTGGTAGAATATCTGTCGAAGACCCGAATGTCCAGCGCTTCCGCCAACGGAGAGTACTGAGGATGCCTTCGTGATGGCTCCTCCTTCATCAACGATAAGTCGCAATTTACTGATGCGACATGATCTCCTCTCCAGTCTACCTGCTCCTTACACTCATGAGTATAAGCTTTGTTTTGGAGCTCTGTTGGAATTGTGGGAGCTCCTTGTCTTTTGGGACGGAGGGGCAGAAGAAGGCGAAGAGCGGCAATTTGCCTCCGTCTCGGCCTCTTCTTCATTGAGCCAAGAGAAGTCAAAGTCATTAGCCGTGCCTGTAGTGCTTACGATTTGGTGCAGCAGTTTGACTACTCTGAGTTAAAATACACGTGCATTTTCCGCAGGCCCTCTTCTAGCCGCTTCGTGTGAACAGGGCATGGTATTTGAGAATGGGGATGACAACTGTGGAACTGATTAAAAAGGAATCCGCATGTTGCCATTTGCTGGCATTTCATGAAAAGTGGCGTCTAGCTTACTGTTCCATTTTTAAGAACCTCCTGAGAACTTCGTCCCTGGCAGCAACGGACAGCTCAGATCCGGATCTGCCGTTTGTACCATCGATCTCGTTCGGCACCTAAACACAGAAAATTTAGGTTGCCTCAACGTTCGTTCGCGTCGTCTCGGAAGATGTTTGTTTACAAGCCTGGGCCCCTTTAACGCAGTGGACACTTGCCGTTGTGCTGTTTCGTTTGCCTGCGACCCGAGCTTTGACATCAAGTAGGCTGAACCACAAGGAAACCATGGCCAGATGAAGATGCAAACAGTCGCATGCGTATCCACATGCGTTCATCTGCACAACTAATACGGGGCTACATTTTGACAATTCTAATAAGATACGCATCTGGTTTGTACATGTATACGGGCTACGGGCATTTTCCTCTTTTAGCTTCGTGAGCATTGGTGAACTGCCGGCAATTTGCTGCCCAATGCGCGGTGTGCTGACCATTGCTTCAAGAGAAGCTCAAGTTCTACGCGCCGGCCATCGGTACCTTTCAGCACGATGAGTTCACTCTTCTGCTTTTTGCAAAGCTCATGGAGGCGGGATATTTCGGCCCTCATTTTGAGTTCTCTTTCTGTAATCGCCAGAGACAGTACAGACCGAGAGGGTAGGTTCCATTGTTGGGGCAGTGCAAGTGCGTGGAGAAGCACTTCAGATTCCCTTCCAACCAAGTCTCACCCCGTCTAGTCGGCAAGTCTCACCGTAGTTGTTCGTCTTTGAGCACTGACGTATTTTCGCCTTGACCTTTGCAACGGTTCGGGGAGTCAGGGGGGGGCCGAGTAGACGCGGGGAGACTTCTGGGGTTTCCTGAAAAGGTCTTCGAGCGCCCTTCCTGGGAACGGTGAGATCCTCCTTCCCTATAGATGCGAGTAAGGCATATTCAAGGACAGGAAAGAAAATTGCCGCAACCCTACGAAAACACCTCCATTATTATGTCCAAGTCACACAGGTGCTGCATGCGTTGATGGGGCTACCAACACGACTCTTTAAACTGTCGCTGTGTTTTGCCCTCCCCAGAGACCACGTACAACAGGACGCCGATGATCACAAATCGGGTTGTACCTCTTTTCTCTTGTCTCTGTTGAAGTGCCTTTTGCTTCATGAGCATTTCGTTTTGCTCCCGTAGTATAGTGTTCTCGGTGGCGAGCTCTTTGTTTTTCTCAGTCTGAAGGGCAAAAAAGGACTCCCGGATAAAACGGACACTTGCGAGCCACTGCCGTACTCACACCTTGGAAAAGACGCACATACAGCATCAGCCCTTTTGAGTATTCCGACTTACGAGTGTCTTGCTTAATGCCGCAAAGTGCTTAGCCTCTTCTTCCGCCGCTTTGAGGTTCATTGTTAGCATTTGATGCAGCGTCTCCAGCTCCAGGGGAGGTTTTTGTTTCTACCAGGACATATTTTTCAGTGTTTTTAGATAGAATGTTGTAACGTAAAAGTGTAAGAAAGAGACGGCCGAATGCGCTTGCAGTGAGGTTATTACACCACATGTTACACGTAGGCAGTCGTTGATGGGCATAATATTTAATACGCACGTTCAACTAGCCAGCTTAAACAATTAGCCAGCATCCCACCAGAGCTAACTAAATACCGTATGGTTTCTTCCCCTTTTCGGTTGTCTGTAGGCAGGCGCGGAGGCGGACCTTTTGAAGCAGTTTTGTTTGTTCTAAGATATCCTGAGTCCTTCACGAATTCAGGCACAGTCCGTCCAGAAAAGCATTTTTCCTGCTGTGCAAACTGTGACTCGTTGTTCCAAAGCAGTGTTGGGGATGTTGTGCTACTCTACTGAATATCTTTCGGGGGCGCCTCATCTGCTATTACGCCAAGTACCTTTGTTGGAACGCTCGTATATACTGCTTTTCTTGCTCTGCATCATACGGGTCCACACTGCGCATGGTGAGTTTCTTCTTGTATTCCGCAAGTATCTACATTCGAGTTTGATCTCTAGCATTTCCTGACTCTGGAAAAAACTGGAAAAAAAACTAAGAGGGAACTTTAGGCCCTTGGGTCACCTTGCATCGTCTTGACCACGTTGTCCTGTGCTGCATCGATGCCTTTCAGCACAGCATCGTGCGTTTGCCTGATGGCCGCCAAACGGCCCTCAATAACGCGCGAAATCTCCGAAGTTTGCCAAGATCTTGGTTTTTCCACAGTGTCTCCCCAGGCGGAAGCGGAGAGCCGTCTCTCTCTACCATACTGGCAGCAGTAGTTGGACATGTTGCGTGGAGTTGTGACATGTCTTGACATAATGACAGCTTATCATGCGCATCCATCCCGTCAAGAGAATACTAATTTGCAGCAAACAACAACTCTGTGAAAATACTGTAGCGGCAGCGTTCTTGCCATAAAGGTCCCCTAGTGTAGCAGGTCCTCACTCTGTCCTGTCCATTTTTCTGACTTTGGCGCTTGAATGTGGAAGGCGACTGAGGTTCCTCAGTTTCAGCTTCCTGTACGCCTTCTTCAGCAGCCATTTTCTGTTCTTTACTCCTTCAGCCGACCCTGCGTAGTCTTGTCTGACGGAACACATACCGCCACAATACTCTAATTTTTTGGGTGTCAAGTTGAGACGCACCAGGTTCAGTTGCCAGCGGAAGCTGCATTCTCCCACGTGCACTGCTTCATCCTCAGTATCAATCTTCACGTGAGTAGTAGTACACTGTCCACAGCCACCTTACTTATGCAGAGGAAGCTAGCTACACTTTCTAGCACTGAGGCTCGAGTAGCTACTTCGGACCTCCTCTAGGAGTGGAACGGTCTCAGAATATGTATTTGGATGAATGCGGGCAAGTTACGGTGAAGGAGCTGAGGCTCCCTCTCATGAACAGAGGCTGGATGCTGCCAATGAACGATATTTTTGTGCACCGTACCTTCAGTGCTGCTAAGGAAGGGGGGGAAAATGTGGACAAAATTCGCCTGCACTTAATTATATGTTTCACATGCACATATATTCTGGGATACGTTGCAAATAACCTCCTTCAATGACAGAAGTCGTTTCATAAGAAGTTCATTGGTTCGTCCTAGCACTAGCGAGTGGCAATGCTTGCATGCGGCTCACAGCAGCGGAAGAACACGCATGCCTGTCTGTCACCTTGAAATGGCAGTTGTTTCGCATTTATAAATGGCGAATAGTGTGGAGATGTAATTTCACTCGTTCATTCCTGGAAGTCTTGTACCTTCCAGCTCGCCCTTACCAACGGCGAGCCTCGGGGGCCCCGCAGCCCACCGGAAGCGTCCTTATTTTACTGCACTTTCATCCCCTTGTAGAAGCAGACTTCTGAAAGCACTTGAAGCAGAATTTGAACTTTCTTTTATTTCAGACAAGCTAAATGACTCTGGAGCTGATATCCAGTGTTCGCCGTTCAGACACGCCTACCGTCCTCACCGGTGGCTTTGCATGTACGCTACTAGGGAGCACTTAGACAAGTGCATCATCTGATGTCTTCTGTGCCTTCTATGCTTCCATTGAGTCAACCGCAAACGGGCGGGGACTGGGTCGCTTTGTTGTGCAGCATCGCGGCAAGTTGAAATAGGGCAATTACAGATCCCTGTGGACTGTTTTACATTTGCTTCGGCGCACTTTCACATCCCCACATGAACGTCCAATGGATCCTGACCTCGCCGACGCAGACTTTGCCATCTACCAGCGGTCCAGTGGAGCAACACCAGCGCAAGGCACAAGAAGAGATCCGCTCCATGCGACCACTGACGCGTTGAAAGACTCGGACGCAACGCTTCTCCGCCCTCTCCATGAACAAGTCCTTATTCAACTACGTCAGGTGACCTATAGCCCTGTGAACCACAGGCCAACTGGCGCAGAGGGAGAGGGGAGGCAGAAAACGCACAAAAATTAATGCGCACTATGTCTCCCCTCAAAAGACGATTTAGAGCAAGTATCTTGACCAAAAAGCGTCCACAAACCAATTAAACACAGACAAATATTGCGTACTCACGTCGCATTAGCAATCACCAAGAGCTTTTTAGCCTGTTCTGGACGAAGACCAGTCGTATGAGGGGCAGGGGATCGTTGCACGCCAGCCCAAGCTGCCTTTTTCTGCACTCCCCTGCTTACAGGTCAAGGATCCGGACATAGGACGCGACATTGTGACTCTTGGATTTGTGAAAGACTTGGAAATAGGCGACGAGGATACGGGAGGCAGACGCGTCAAATTCTGCCTGAGTCTCACCACCCCTGCCTGTCCCTTCAAAGGGCAGATTCAGGAAGAAGCGCAAGCATCCGTGAAATGCTTACCTTGGGTCAAGGAGGTATGTATGATGCCTTTGGACAGCTCATAAGCACTCCATTCGATATTGGGTGTATCGGAAAGATGTCATTGTACGTGCTTCTTGCTGTCACTGCTGCTGCATTCTCCGTCGTTTCCCTGCAGTTTCTGTCTGCACAGAGCTGTATAGAGCCTTACAAGCCCTAGACTTGAAAGCACCAGAATGTGTGCGTCTGCGTTTGTGGCGCCCTGTAGGTTGAGGTTGGCTTGTCTTCGGTGGCTCACAGCCGCGGCGCCTCTTCCGGTCGACCCTCGAACCTGCGACGTGTTGGCTTCATTGTGGGTGTTGCCTCTTGCAAGGGAGGCTCGGGCAAGAGTACTGTGGCTCTTTCTTTGGCGTTGATGCTGAGGAAAAGTGGGGCCAAAGTGGGGCTGCTGGATGCGGATATTTACGGGCCAAGCCTGCCTACCCTGCTTAACAAGGAGGGGACAAGAGTAATGTTTGGTGAGGAGGAAGAGAGTGAAGTGGAAGAACAAGCCAAAAGATCGACACCTATGAGGTCACGTGTTTCTCAAAGTAGGAGGGGGGCTTCAGCAGTGAGACGCGGGCGCATTGAGTACGAAGAAGGGCCTCCGGTGCCCCCTGCAGTGACACCAAGTACACCGGAAGATGCCTCAAAAGCGAAGGCTACAGACAAAGAGGAAACAAGCATGATCCCCATTAAGGTCTCCGGGATCAAATGCATGTCATATGGGTTCATAGCTAAAAGGAATGACCAGGTGGGCTGTATATGCTTAAGAACGTTTTTGCACTGCGTATGCTCTCTGCCGTGCGGACGCACAATCATCTCAAGGCTTATCCCATAGTGCTTTTGCGCGATGCTCTTCTCCGCCTCAACACAACTTCACGTTCGAGCGGCTGCAAATGCGTTTCAGGGGTACTCGGCTTTGAGGGGCCCATTTGTCAGCTCCGTCGTTGAGCAGTTGCTGACTGGCACGCAGTGGGGAGCCCTCGATTACCTGGTGGTAGATTTGCCACCTGGGACTGGGGACATTCATATAACTCTCACACAGCAGCAGGTGTCTCTGGATGGCTGTGTGGTTGTCACGACACCACAAGCTCTTAGGTACGAAACAGAAGGCTTGCGTTGTTGGGTTCTGATCGATGCAATACGTAGAAGGTGTCGTTTACGTATACAGGCTTTTAGAATTGGTGTTCACGGCTGGCGGTGCGATATTTCTCAGTTCTCAGTGCTTGCGGCAACTCGTGCTTCAATGAGCTGCGGCAGACTGCCGCCATCTGTTTGTTGCAGTCTGGTGGACGCGGAGAAGGGCATTAGAATGTTGAAGAGCCTGCGCATCCCAACTCTATCAGTTGTTTGCAACATGGCCTACTTCGTCTGTAGCAACTGTGAGGAACGCCACGAGCTCTTCGGCCGCCCCGAAGCAACACAGCAACTGGCCGAGCTCAGTACCGCGCATCAACTGATTCTGCTTCCCTTCGACGTCAGACTCAATTCCGGCACATTTGCAGGATCGCCGCTTCCGGATGCAAGGGACTCCTTTGTGGATAGACTAGGGCCTGAGGACCCTGTGCGTCAACCAAGTTAACTTCCGGGATTTGATGCGGTGCTTTGTGCGAACGCGCATCTACCCCGTGGTTGTATTACCTTTCTGAGTGTAATTTTCGAGTTCTAGATCTTGCAGATGAGGGCCCGTATATATTATAGGCTAATTTTGTATGGGTGTGCGTGCGCGTGTGCTGGAGGGAGCATCCTTCGCTCATCCGGGCACTTTGTGCACTGGGTGTCTCAGGTGTGGAGTGCTCTCCGATCTCTGGCGGATAGAGTGGCTTGCGAGCTTTCTACCCTTCGCTTTGGCTCCCTGAAGCCCCAACTCTCTCTCGCTACGGACGGGTCTGCTGTCATGGTGGCCCTCGTGCGTCCTGACGGAGCTCGGCTAGGGGAAGGTGAGACGCTACAAAGGCAGCCAACAGACTGGACCATCATGCATGCACTTTAACGCTCTCAAGTTTTTATCGCTTTATCTTTCCATCAAAGGGGTCAACTCAAACTTAACGATTATGAGGAGATGGTTTAGACCACTGCGCAGTTTGTTGTGTTTGAAATTGACGCACGTCGCGCCACCTTTGCCGCATAAGGCGCTTTCTGCACTCTATATGTGCAGTCAAATTGTTCGATTCAACAATATAGCTTGCACGATGCAGTTATTTCGCTTGCAGGAGGACTTTTTTAACGACTAACTTGCTGTTACCTCATGCCTGATTTACCCTGATACAGGCGTAGCCACGAGTGCTCTTGTTAATGGTCGAGGGCCACACCGCTTTTGTGTTCAGGCGTTCCCATGATGGTGAAAGAAGCTTTTGAAGTGTCAGGGGAGGTTTTGCGTTCTCGGTGCAGTTGCGTGGAGTGCAAAGGACAGCAGGGAGGAGTCCCGTCCTCAAAGTAAGTTGGTTCACCTTCAATGTCCTTGTTGGTCCCGGTAGTTGCTGTCTAGTTGTTGAATCGGGTTGGCAGTGGCTGACGCGCATCCACTGCTACCGTGCTGCTTGGGCAGGCGCGAATAAAGTGAGATGGACTCTCGTACGGTGGGAACGCGTGGAAAGTGTTTATTTTTTGTCGATCCGGGTGTATATGGGTGAATTTTAGACGTCCTGTTCCTTGTACAATTCTTGTTGCACAGCTTTTGCCTCTCGGCAGTGCATGCTCGGTGATTTTACCATACGGGCTAGCCATATGTATGCTCTCTTCCACCGCAACTAGCTGCCTATTTACATTCGTCTTTTCCAAGGTAGGCAGCTAGTTGCGGTGGAAGAGAGCATACATATGGCTAGCCCGTATGGTAAAAAGACGAATGTAAACCCTATGAATATTGCATTTTAACATGCTAAGAAATTTGTAGGTAGTGCACTGGCTTGTGCATATATGCCCCTGTGTCCATCAAATCAATCTGCAGTACCCGCATCTCTTCAGTCAACTTGTGTAGTTGCTGAGCAATCGCGCCTTTGTCCACACTCCTCTGTCCCGGGCGGTGCAGGAATGCTGAATACCAGCTGCGTATTGTCAACTTCCTAGAAGCAGGTGACGGTACACTAACTGTTAACTGGTGAGCACACAGGCGGTCCCTTTCCGATGCCAAATTCTTGAGCTTGTAGAAGACTCCTTGGCCTGTTCCTTAGGGTTTGCCTCTCTGTATTCTACATCAGGGCGACCCCGCGCCTTTGCTTGTCTTTTCTCCTTGACTTCCAGGGAAGACGGACACGTATCTCGGTTTGCTGTCAGCGATTTATTGGACCTCTGTAGAGAGTTCCGTTTGACTGCTTCAGACGGAGGAGGTGAGAGGGCCTACTTAGGGGGACAAGCTCGGTATATAATGACAGCTCCCGCAATGTTTCAGATGCAAACGAGACCCCTTAGCTGCTCAGCTGTCCCTGCTGTCTGCTTGTTCACAGAAAGCCGCAAGTGCCTCGCTGACCCCCAACTTGAATGGTAACTGCAGGCTGGATTGGCGTTTGACCTGAACCTTAACGTGCTTGCACTAGCCCAGCTCAAGCTAGGCGTAGATAATAGTGTCTCCTGCTCTCCTGCTGCGACATTCAAGGCTTTGTGTTCGCACGCGCTCCCGCAGGCGGAGTTTTTTACAGGGGCTCCATTGTGCCGTTTTTTAGGATAAATATATTTTACAGATAATCAAAGCACCGCTAGTACCGCCTTATTCGACATCGTACTCGGCAAGATTGCCATATTTTGTCCATAGCGATCCTGACTTGTCTTTGCGTATTATTTCTGAAACAAGGTAGTATTTCTGAAACACAAACGCAGTTTAAGATTTTTCTTGCTGGCGGCACCACGTGCACCCTGACGGCCCACGTTCGCTTGCGGCACAGTGTCTCTTCGGATGAGGGGAATACGGGGAATGCAGAGGGATGTTTAAGCCTACGTAGGAAGGTGGACGCATTGCTTGCCTGGTTGACGCTGCGCAACCAGGAACTACTGCTAAGTGAAAGTCCTGCACGCTCAACGTTTAGAAAAAAAAAAACAAGCAAGAGACGGACGATGCTGAGTAAGGCGCGTGCAGCCGTGAGGGCGCCTTGTCGACTGCCACAGTGTCCGCATGCACCTAGATTTCCCTTCTTCGTTGGCGGCACAGCTCCTGGAGCATCCAGCGGACTTCGCTGTGCTCTCTGAACCCTTGCTTGCTAACACACTTGCTGTCTGCCGCAGAAAAAAGCAATAATGTATAGGTGCACAGGCCATCTTCGACACCTTCCTTCCATGCCCATTGTACTTCAACAAGAGACTTCGGGAAGCCTTTTGTGGCTACAGCAGCATGCAGTGCCCCTTTGCTTCTCCGTCTGGCAGGAAGAGCATAGCATCTACTGGAATGAACGTGAATACCAGTAGCCAAAGAGCGAATGGCCACGTTGTGCGGTATGTTCCTTCCGCACTCAAGTGATTCTAAACAGGAGACAAACCCGCACTGTTCGTGAGACGGGCGAAAAGATGGTCGACATTTTAGAATGGCGGGACACTTCCCTACATCGAGTTACCCAATGCGTTCACAGTGTTCAGTTGTTAGAATAAATGCTAAATCATTTGCTTCGAAGTAGCTAACGGTTTTGAAGGGATGTGGCGCACGCAGCTCTTGGATGCCTTCATCTTGTCCGTACAAGACAGCGAGTTCCTCTAGGTGACGGTCGAGCTCTGTGACAGAAACAAGTACCACATGCCCCGCCAACTCACCTTGTTGCAGCAGTAGGATGCATAGAACAATCCTGGACATTCGTAATGAAGCCTTCTTGCATGATCCCAGCACTGAGATGAGGGCAAAGTTCAGTTCTGCCCCGCTTGGCCGTAAACAGACGAAACTTTGGGGCAAAAATATAGAATTTCTTGCATTGGAGGGCTGTCTCCGTAATATTTTCCCTCATCACTGCATTAAAAATGCCCGCTAACCCACTGACGCGATTACACCATAGACGTCTGGGCTCTCATTCTCTTCGATCAAACGCTAGAAACGTTTCCACCTTGCTGAGTAAATTTGCGCGTGTCTAGACCTTAACTGTATTTTCTGCCAGCTCATGGCTGTGCCAGCAGTGATTACGTATTTTGTGGTGATATGGCCTTCTTTAGTTGCCGGTTAACACGGCGCGGTGCGCGGGCGCTACGCTGTGCTCGTCAAATAACCAGGCGGCTGATCAGTTCGGCTTACACATTGGGATGTATGTGTGCCATCCCAGTGTCTACTGGAATATGTTGCTGGATCGCTGCCCCAAGCTGGATTAAGTAAGAGGTCTCAGGCATTGTCATAGCGCAGAAGTAACTTTTGTGTGGAGGCGCTTCAGAATCACAGACTGAGACTGTATGATAGCACTCGACTCCGTCAGACGCCCGTCTGATTCTCCTATTTAGTATATATAAGGGAATGATTCAGTTAAACGATTCCATATGTCTCGATGGTGGCACAACAAACGTATCGGACAGTGCTTCACGATGCGTGAGCCGAGCTAATCAGCCGACTCGTATTGGAATCCTCCAAAGCAAGCTTGTCAAAAAGCAAGAAGCTGTCGGTTCATGTGCACTCCTTACTTTGCGGTGCCCCCTGCCCTCAAGGCCCGCCATTTCGGCGAGGTTGCGTACTGTAAGCGCCAACCTGCTGGGTGGCTCTCGTTTTACCTTTTCCAACATGAAGCAGGCAGTTCTCTTCAACTGTGTAGCTTGTTTTGCAACTCACTGTCGCAAGTGTTTCCTTTTTCTTTCTAGCTGCGTAGCTCTCTATTGCTTCCCAAAATATATCAGGCATGTCACAAGGCACAACGTCTCATCTTGGATACTGTTTTACGCGTGGCATCGCTCCTTTCGGGTCTGTCGAATCGAGAAGATTCGGTCCGTCGACCACGGTGGAAACGATATTTGTCGCCGATTCAGTCACAAATATTGGCGGGTCGACCTGCTGGCATTCCCCGACAAAGCCCTGTGAGGGGCTGGGACCAAGTTTCAATTGTACGATTCAGCACACTGCCAATAGAAACGAGCGGGCTTGGCCAGCATCGGTTTCGACTAGCTGCTACAGGAATACAAAAGCAACTGCTACTAGAACCAGCTCCTGCAGGTGATGAGGAATTCATTGTGTGATTCAGTACAACGAAGCGCACAATGTGCATGAACGAAAATACCGATAACGCGTTTCCCTTCCGGAACTTCAGGCTGACCGCAAGTGGGTGTGCCCAACACTGCAGCGGCTTTCTGCCAGCAGGCGTGCTACGCAAAACGATGCATCTTCCACATAATTTTCATAAAAATGTCATTGTTCATGTGGTGTTGTCGACTATAAAGAGATTCAAGAGGCGTTTTTATAGATGTGAAGCGCACAGTAAAAAAAGCGATTAGCTGCCTGATCGGCGCCTGCTGCCGCATAGTCGATACGGTTGCACATGTCCACATAGCCGGCCCCAACGATGGCTCCTCGCGGGCAGTTTCCTTCCCCTTTTGGCCCAATTTTCAGATATCTTCAGCCAATTTTTCCATTATTGCCTTAATTTCATCAACTTCTGTGGGAGGTGACGTCCAACTGTGTACTCTTCTTCGCTGCCGAGATTGGCGGCAGCGACTGCGACAGCGAGCCGTCGGCCGTAGCCTCACGCGGGCTACGGAGCCCCGGCGATCTACACCCTTGTTGAATCCTTCAAGCATATTTCAGCCTCTGTTACTTTGCTGTACTCTTTAGTAACAATGTCTAACGTACAAAGCGGGAATGCCACTCCCCGTGGCGTTGGCGTCAACACCGCGAGCCACCAGCCCATGCACACGCTGCCTCAAGTCGGCAGTGGGTTTCACAACATGATGAGCCAGGGGTCTTTTGTCGGGGCTCCTTTTGCATTTGGTAGCCCTCCGGCGAGTGATGGAGCAGCAACACCCAATCAGGGCTGCGGGCCGTGCTGCTATGCGGAGCCGCCGCCAATGCAACAGCCACACCACGGATTGTGGACCTGGAGTCGGGATGGCCGGCTTAAACTAACATGTGAGCAGCCGATTGTGCCAGTTCCAGTCATTCAAGAGATTCACAGACGCGATAAGATCATCGAAGTGCCTCAAGTAGATGTCGTGGATGCTGTGAAGCCAAGGGTGTACAACCAAGGAGTGGAGCACGAGGTCCCCAAAATGCGCATTGATGCTCAACCAGTAACACTGGAAATACCCAAGTACAAATACGTGGAAAGAGAAGTTTTGGTCCCCATTGTCACTGGATACACCCACAAGTTCGTGCCAAAGTGGGAAATAAGGGAAGTGCCTCGCCCCGTGGTGAAGTATGTCGGCGAGCAAGAAACGATTGAAGTCGAAGTGCCCCAAGTGAAGTTCGTGGACAGGATAGTCGAGAAGGAAATTGTGGTTGACACCATAGAAAAGAAGGTACCCAAGATTATTGAGGTCCCGAAGTACGTAGACACGGTAAAGTATGTCTGGAAGCCCGTGGAGAAGATAGTGCATGTCGAGCGATTTGTGCCTAAATTCGACGTTTCTCTTGAATGCCCAGCACCTCTTATCGTGCCATACCCGGTCCAGAAGGTAACGGAAATGCCGGCAGTTATGGTGCGCAAGACCCCAGCAGAAATCCCAGAAACAGAGGTAGAAGTTGTGTCTCCAGATGGGACAGTTCGTGTTCCGGAGGAATATATCCGCGAATATAGAAAGACAAAAGCTCAAGAAGGAGGCTTTCTGTGTCAAACAATGGAGTGCTGTGGCGCCGACAAGGAAGACGAAGTGTTGTATTCTGAGGGTGACCTCACTTGGATGCAGCGGCAGGAAGAACAGGAGTCAAACACGGATCAAGGTCCCCAGGCACCCCATGGATCCGCAAGAAGCAGCCCAACAGGAGCTGTGTTGACAAGGCCTCATCAAGGAGAAGACTCTGAAGGCCGTGCCTGTAGCGGTGAAAGCGACGAAGCTCATTGACGGCCAGAAAATGGTCCTCTACGAATGCCACAATTACACACGCTTAAGAAAAGATTTGTAGACCATTCAGGTTGCCACCTATAGCAGAATACACCCTTTTAGCACAGAATAGCACGACTATGGGAGTTAGGGCTTGGGCGGTTTTAACAGCGGAGCCCGTCAGCGGAGCCCGTCTGCCCCTTGACTTCGGTAGTCCGTTGTTGCCCACCTTTTTGAAGGGCCCCCCGTGTGGCTCGGAGTTAATTTTTCATGCTGCAAGGCAACTTTTCATTCTTCCGGCTGGAATACCATGCATGCTTTGGTAAAAAGGCAATTAACAGAGCTATGCCACACCGCCTGAACACCTGTACATCCCACTTCCAGTTGCACTACCTCCCTTTAAGAAAAAAGGGCAGCCAGTCTTAGAGCATCTTCCCAATAGGATGTAGATGAAAACTCAGGGACTGTACCAGTTGTACAAAGACCGGCTGTCCATAATATAGCTCGTTTCCTGCGAGAGTGCCGTGTAAGACGGAAAACTGTCACGGTGGACTGAAACACGGTACTTAGTAGTTGGAGACTGTTAAATAATAGCTTCCCACACCGGGACTCGAACCCGGGTCGCTCGGGTGAAAGCCGAGTATCCTAACCACCTAGACTATATGNCCACACCGGGACTCGAACCCGGGTCGCTCGGGTGAAAGCCGAGTATCCTAACCACCTAGACTATATGGGACTGGTGGGAACGCGCTACTTTTTCATGTGTCCACGCTGAACGACAACGGGGTGTTGGGTAATTCAAACTACACAGAAAAGTGAGACATTAAAAAATGTTTTTCTCCCGGAATGCACCCTTAAAATGCAGTTAAAACCCGTTTCCAGTAACTGCTCAGTCCCCTGTCAATCGCATGCGCGCTACTCGCCACGCGTGCAGGCGACGCTTTCGGTGAGTTTTTGGTAGCTCGCTTTGAAACTGCTCTGGTATCAAACAGATTTCGGACCTGGTTGACAGCAGGGTCACTGATATATATATATCCTGGAAAGCGTCGGAGCCTCCAGCGCCCGGAGGCCCTGGGTGCCCTTGGCTGTGCCACCACAGTGAATCGGACTTGAAGTTTATTTACGAAGAACGCGTCGGTTTGTGTAGTGGGTTTGATAGCCTACGCAAAGCGCAGAGATTTCGTGGTCGTCGTGTTGTAGGCTCTCGGCATCCGCCCTCCGGGGGCCTTCCTGCCGCGGGTACACAAGTCCTTCGGCGAAGCGAAACTTCTGCTCAAGGATGGCGCAGCAGGGTGTCGCGTTGTCGTACACCGGCTGGGGCGACGTCATACGTGATATCCCACCAGTGGCATGGGGTGCAATAGGAGTTGCTCTGGCATTGGGCCTGTCGGCCATCGGCGCTGCATGGTAGGCAACCAACCTCCGCTTCCTTCAGCTAAGTGATGTGGACGCTTCTGTTGTATATAAGAGGGTTCGCTCTGTCCAATGGGCAGTTCGTCCATGCGGCCACGGAATGACTTTCTTGAGCTTTCGTCTCTTCAGGGGGATATTCATTACAGGGAGCAGTCTGCTAGGCGCAGCTGTGAAGTCCCCGAGGATACGCTCAAAGAACTTGGTGTCTGTAATATTTTGCGAGGCAACTGCAATCTATGGAGTTATTATTGCGATTTTAATTGCCAGTACGTTCGTGAGGACCAGTTTGTTCGTTGTTTCCGCACCAAGCGCCATTTCCTTCACAACTTACCCTCTTAGACATCGCCTTCTCCACAAATTTTTCCTATTAAGAATGAGGGCCGCCGCACGTTGCGTTCAGGCAAACTTGATGGCGTCCCTCCTGACTTCATTCAGAGCATGATGGATCCCTCAAAAGTTGAGGTAGGCAGGCCCAGTCAGCAAACAGCGTTGCTGGCTACTATAAGCGCGACCGCTATGCACTGAGTAGTTCTGTGGTCTTTTTACTACTTAACCCCCCCCTTCCCCTCCCCCCCCCTCCCGGTCCCCAATCGCCTCGCCCTCAAATGTGTTTAGGCGGAATACTGTATGTTTGGTATATCTTCCATGGGGCATGCGCACTTTGGTTGCTGTCTATTTCTGTATGCGCAACTGTAGAAGTGGCAGGCGGATGCCATTGCCGCTGGGTGGGGTCTTTTGGCTACGGGGCTCACGGTTGGACTCTCCAATGTTTTCTCCGGGTTAGTGTGGCAGTTGCTGTTGTGGCATATATCGCATGTATCCCGCTTAGCGTCAACTGGATTAGCAGTTCGAAGCATCATCACCCTTCGCACGGGTGCAAAACTTAGCAACATTTGTATGCAGTCCTGGCGGGCTGTGACTATTCACGATATCAATTTTCCAAATTTCATATTATTCATGCGTGCCTTTCTGATTGCTTCAGGATCTCGGTGGGCGTGGCAGGCAGCGGAGCCGCTCTAGGTGACGCCCAGAGGCCAGAAATATTCGTGAAGATGCTTATAGTGGAGATTTTCGCGTCGGCTCTCGGTACGTGTACTTGCACACTTCATTTTGCTGAGCATCGCGACGTAGGGTTTCCTGGGAACTGCGAAGTTCGCGAAAGTCTGCTGGCTTTCGCGGCATCTGCAGTTATAGATGGCAGCATTGGTGCTGCCACACATTTCTTTTTGATGAATTCATGCGGACTTGTTGTGGATCTGCTCCGTCGCCGACGCTTCTGGTTGGCTGTTATGGGCCTTCCAGCTACCCTTTGCGCCTGGTCACCTTTCTATATCAGGTGTGTGGTTTGTGGCTTCTTCGTGTTCAGGGCTATTTGGCGTCATCATTGGACTCCTACAGCTGAACCTTGTGAACTTCACGCGGCCAGCTAGAACATGATCGGTTCTATCTTGCTTGCATCATCCATTGGCTCGCTGCTCTTGCATTCGTATTAAGAGTACCGAATGGACTTGCGTATTAACTCGGGGATGCACCGGGCTGGTGTTTGCCATCACGAATTTAGTATAATTCGGTCGAACTGACGCTTGCACTGCAAGAGCGCAATCCTCCGACATAACTCCTGTTCGTATGACGGTTCTAGACTGCTGGCTTTGAATTAATTTCATTTCAAGATTAGGGCTACCATGAGACACACAGCCTAAGCTCATGGCCCCTTAAGTAGAAGAGGGCACTTCTTGCACTTTGTGTTTTATGGTGTACCGTTGCTTTTATGTGGACGGTTACACTTTCATCTTGGTGTTCGCTACAGAAAACCTTCTCATTAGGAGTATATTCTCCGTGGTCTGGTGCAGATGAGATGCAGAAGCACTTATATGGACTGGCCGATGGTGTAAGCAATACTGACGTAGCTAGTGTTCATGGAGCCTTTTGTGTGCCGGCAAAAGGCAGCATTCTCGTGGGTACACCCTCAAACAGCACGATTAATAACGCTTTGATTCTCAACCCGTTTGACCGAACAGGTAGCATTCCAGACAGCACGATTAATGACGCCTTCACTCTAAACCCTCTCGATCGAAGTAGCTTCAGGCGTCCTGTTGGGACGCATGGGTTAGACAACGCTTTCGAGATGGGTTTTGATCGAAACTATCGCACTCCTCTTTGAGGGGACGAACGTGTAGGTGAGTAGATTACTCATCGCTTTAACGGCTGGTGATCGCAACAGGATGAACAGATGTCTCCAGCGCACCTTCCAGGTGTCGAGGGTGTCGAACATCGCAGACATAACGGTTCACGATTCAGCCGCAGAAGGAATATGTGTAGCGCTGGCCGCCCACATGCTGCGTACTGCAACTGCCAAAATAATATAGATGGCAGGTTGTTAAAAACCCATTCGGGTGCAAATACCCCGACGCCAATGCAGTCGGAGCGGCTTTCTCTCGGGTTAACTTTGGACAGATGTGAGCAGAGTGCTGGATTTCTCATGGATTGGGCTTGGCCAATCTAAACGTTCTGCCACTGCTAGGGAAGCAATTATTCTGCGTTCAACACGACCCCAATTTAGATAAATGTGAGTTTCGACTGAAGTAGGTTCGGGCATCGTGGGTGTTCGTCGGCCGAGCGAACCAATGTTTCATTCGTTTTGTTTGTTTTCTGCTTCTCTTTACTCCCGTACGCCGGGGCTCAGTCAGCGCATTGCTGGCGCCCTTCGATTCTTATGAATACGGTGCAAGCGGCATCCACAACTGCCTCGTAGGGATGTGGAATCGTGGGGAAGGAAGCTACAATCTATATACACCAGCTTGCATTCAAGATTGGACCCTTTACGGAACAAATTTGAAGCTGATGCATATGGAATGTAGATTTGTTTTTCTGTCCACGATTGCATTCGGGGCTTTCAAGTAGCAGGCCCACTCTTCGATGAACTGTACTGTTCCCTGGTAACGACTTTATATGGGTCTCCAAATCAACGAGTTTCCATAGTTCTTAATATGCAAAATGTTTCTACACTGCACAGAAAACTTTTGATACCAGCTAGCCCTTTTATATTCAAAAGCCCTCTCCTTTCTACGCAGTGGGTACTGCCGACCACGGAGCGACGCTTTGGCTCCCTCCTACCATACAGACGCTTGATATTTATTTCGACCTCCAGTGTTTTTGGATACTTCATTTGCCGGGCCGTGACTTATCTGCCAATTCTGGCGGGGCGCTGGCCTCCTGACTGTATTGGCAAGCGTGGTCACCTGGAAGAGGGGCCCAGTACTTCCCATCGCCGCATGTCAAATGACTCCGCCAGTCAGTGATAAGCTTTAAATAGTACTTCGTTATGGTTTTTGCCACATTTGCCAAAACAATATTGTTGGCATTTTGGCCCCCGGATGTTTCATGTGGGGAATCGTCCCCAGGCACAGTCGAATTCTGCACACCCACGGAAAGTAGCTCTGTAGCGCTTTTCTCCACTTGCGGTGGAGAATAGCGCTGCATTCAACGATCAAGGAATGTAGGAGCAGGGATATTTCTTTGCTTCAAAAGCGTCACCTGTTCACCTGTGACAACGGGAGACCAGTGCGGTTGACGGCTCAAGAAGCCACCGTCTTCACAAGAGCTCCCAGCTCACTACACCTCCCGCTGCAGTGGCCTTTGCTCCTCTTGATAAAAAGCTTGAAGAGGAGGCCGCCTTTGAACATAGAGTGGCTCCGTTGATCAGCGATGTTGTGACCCCTGCCTGGTCTCACTGAATCCGTGGAAGCGGTGAACTTGGTTGCTTCTTCAGAAGCCTATGAGAGCACTTGAACAGTTCAGACTTCGTCGGAAGCCTATGGCAGCACTTGAATATTTCACACTACTTTAATATTAATAACCTCAGCACGGTGAGCGTCACATGAACTGCCCGGTATTGAGACCAGTGCATGCAGCACTAGTATCCCGGCGAACTGAGCAGGGTCCTTTGTTCGGAAGACGCTCCCGAACTTACGTAAGTAAACATCCGCAAAAGGCATAGAAATTGTTGGGAAGCTGTTAAGTTGGCCTGTTGGTGCTGCTGAAGCCGGCGTATGCGGAAAGAACGGCTGATCGCCTTGCGAATTTGGCTGCTCTGTGCAACAGTTACGCTTGCTACGGAATTTTAACTTCACCATCCCCAGTAGGGGGATCGTTCGAAGGATTGGAAGCATCATACTCCCAGGCAGAAGGCGGGACAAGCGCAAGTTGTCATAATGAATGGTTTGCGTGGCCGAAACTCATCTTCCTCAAACGCTAGTGAAAATGGCAAGTGGACCGAAAAGCCTGGCGGCTTGTCCCTGTCGACAAATATAAATTCAAAGAAACAGAGAGATAACTGCATAGTGCCAGCAGTTGCAGGAACACCTACGGGCGGAAGTTGCAGGAGCGGCTCGGACTGCGGAACTAGTACAGCAATTCACGATGTGCATCACACGCAGCTTGCCGTAAGCTGATAGCAGTCAAACTACCACTACTTTTTGAGTTTAGAGTTGTAATAGAGTAAAGCAATCCTGCAATAGTTGTTCTGTGACGGGTGCATTCGTTTGCTCTGCGTCTGCTTCATGGCCAGCAGTGGAACTCAAGGGTGGCCGCTGGAAAGTACGATGTAAATGCATCCATGAAACTATTTCGCTTGCTGTCGCCATCACTACCATCCTTGAGGCCGATTTTCCACAAAATCGTAGCTCTGGGGGCTAAGGATAATATCGTTGGAGAATCAGCTGTCCCCAATGGAAAGCCATTATTTGAAGCATTTCCTCCAGCTGTACTTTTTGTGGGCTTTGAATCCGCCGGGGTTTATCAAGCACATTTCAAACTCAGGTTGGCATCAGGTTCAGCTGCGTTTTATCGAGCGAACACGAAAGTTGTTCTCTTAAGCACGAATTCCTCTATTGGCCCTCAAAGTCTTGCCGCTTCCGCCTCTGCTTTGTTCGAAGGAACAAGGACCGCTTTTCTCGACGAGTACATGCAATCACTCCGGACTCAGCTAACTTTTCTGTGACGGGCATCAAGGAAAACCAGGCATCTACAGCAGTAAGAAGTGCTTTTAGCGCCTCATCAACTTTAAATTAACGCGCAACTCCAGGGAATAGATTAAAGGTCTGTACAGCCAGCAGTACTGGGTCGTACCACAGCTGTCCATAGATAGTATATACTGGAAAGTAAAATGGACTTCAAATACTGGGGAGACATTACTAGGCTGTTCGGCGGGAGGCTGAACAAACACCAAGAAATAGATACTGATAATATGACTAGACCCAGCATATCTAATACTAGCCCCAAGTTCGTGTGCATTGAATGCGTCACACTATGTTTGTCCACTTAACGTAGATGTTTTTGTCGAGCAGCCCTTATTCGCAAAGGCAGGCAGCTACCAGAGCAAGTCTCAGTTTGTCTGATGAGCCGTGAAGTCCGTGCTGTTGTGCGATTGACATCTAGGTGGCCCCGGGAATGAGCGCCAGTTTCTTAGTAAGCACGCATGTCACAAAAAGGAGAACAGTTTTCTTGAACAGCTCGCAAGACGGTAGAGCAGCCTGGCCCAGAGACGCCGATTTAGAAGGTTAAGAATGTTTTACAAGCATAGTAAGAACGGGTACTTTGTGCAGGTAACGTTTCGAGCTGGTGACAAGAAAACCTATTGCTACGATCTGCAGATCGAGACCGAGGTATATAATTTAGGTCCCCTATTTTCAGGTCAACCATAGTTGCAGGCGCACCAACGTCTCTTGCTTAGTGCCAGTAGCGCAGTGCTCTGCATGTATAATCTTGCGCATCGCTGGTACTCCAAGTATGTTCGCCTCCAACACCATCATTTCCTTCGAACCAGCTGTTTTTTGTTTTGCGTGACAGCGGGAAACATTTTTGGTTCCGTTACGGGCATTCCAAGGCTTGTGTTCCGTAAACCTTCCTCCAGTGATTTCTTTGGACAGCGCCATTGTGGGAAAACGCAAAGAAAAGACAGTGCTCCTGTCCAATGATGGCAACGCTGCTTCTACAGTAACACTAGTAGTGCCCCCTCCATTCGACGTACAGCCCGACTCTTTCCTGCTGCCTGTTGGGAGTTCACAACAGGCAAGTGTTCGTCGAGCACGCTTCCGCTTTGAAGGGGCTCAGACACGCAGCAAAAATGGGGTGATTGCATTGCTACGTCTGCGGCATTGTATATCCATACAGCATTTGCCCCCAGTGCCAGCTTGCTGCAATGCATTGTTGTTGCAATAGGTAGTCTTTGCAGTTGAATCCTCCCAGTGCGGGGCTTTCGATGCCCAATTGGAAATAAAATATGATGACGTAAGCTGCTCTAGAGAACGATGAAATTACACTACTGTAGCTAGTTGCCCCTGGTGCGAGGCATGTGTAGCCTCGTGCCCGAGACAGAGCGCTCCTTTGATGCATGATGCCGCCTCGATATCTAGAAGCCAAGGATGCGCTGATTATTCGCTGGAGCATAATATTCGCATTACCAATTGTTGCTTCTGTGAGCTAATGTCTTCTGCAGGGCCGCGTGGAAGTGAAACAGATTCAGGGGACAGTGGTCGAGGGTGCAGTAGCCCTCTCAACTTCCTTCCTCAAGTTCGACACGACCTTTGTCAACCTGACGTGCGAAAAAACTGTTTGCATTGAGAATGACACCAACGAACACTTGCCGTTTTGGTGGTCCTTTGGGCCGTCGAACGACATCAAAGACGCATCGGAGCACAACCGTGAGTTGGTCTCCTCCGGCTGCTATACTATTAAGCCAGCATCTGGGAGAGTTTGGGCGAAGTCGAAGCAAAATATCCGCATTGAGTTCGCTCCAATACAAGCGACCATCTACAACTCTACTGCACGCTTGAACATTGCTGGGAGGTGACCTGTTTGATTAATCCCTTCACCTGTCACTGAGCGTAACGGTCGAATATGCTACGAACTGCATGTAGAAATAAATGCAAGCGTGGATTCTTACCGGAACAGTAAATCGGGTAGCCGATAGAGTCAAACGTCGGTGTTACTCAACAGGGAAACACCAGAAGCGCTGTTCGGAAACATTTTCTTCGTGTAAGTATATTGCAGACGGTGTGTGCATTTACTCTGTTGAGAGCAGAGAAATGGGTCTCAAACTGCAACTTTATGGAACGGGCACAGGGCCGCAAGTCAAGTTCACGAGGGCAGAGCTAGACTTTGGGGACGTTGTCGTGTACACAGAAAAGATGCTTGATGTGGAAATCGTGAATACAGTACGTGTATTTCCAGTCCAACTATCCCTTCCATAGCACAAAAGGAGAAATAGCAGTGGCACGGTACTAAAAGGCAAGCAGAAACTGGGCCTCTAATTGGTGTGGAAAAGATATAGTAGCCAACGACTTGGGGAGGTCTGTAAACACGCCGTAGCTTTCCACTCTGCTCTCATGTGCTGGTCCCGGCAGGGTGATATCGCTGCATCATATTCTGTGAAGCCGCTCGCCGGTGCTTTCCCTCCAGGAACAGAGGTAAATTTTAGCCCCAGCAGCGGATGCATTTGTATTAACAAGGCTGAACGGGTGCAGGCATCGTTCAGGCCAGCATTCGTGGGGGAGTTCGAAGCCACCGTGCTGTGGGCGATCGAAGCGTCTCCAGAAGACATCGCTTTAAAGCTTAAGGTGATGCATTACAACTGTGTGGGAACGACAGCTGACGAGACTGGATGCTCCCCTACATAGGCTTAACCAAAAAAAAGATACTCATAGTTTCCGCTCATGCTATGTTGCAAACATTTTCCATTTGACCTTTGAGTGTCCCAATGCGGCTCCAATGGAATCCGAATGCAGGGTCGAGCAGTCCCTCCCCAGATTGATTACGATGTTTCGTCCATTAACTTTGGAGTGATTCCCTTTGGGTTTGAAGAAGTGCGCTCGGTTCAACTAACAAACACCAGTGACGCGCCGCAAACGATCAAAGTGAAGGTTTTAAAGCGACTAGATGATACATATGGCGATATCAGCGTCAACCCTGAAGAGCTAACCATACCTGCCGGCTCATCCGGAAAGGTGGACGTCGTCCTTTGCCCTTCGAAGGCACAGGCTTACATAGAAGAGATTGCCTTTGGTCTTCCGGGCTTGATTGACGAATACTTCATTTTGCCTCTTCGGGGTTCCAGCAAGACACCGCACGTTGCATTGGAACCAGAAGGCACGCTCGTCTTCGACGACGTTTTCATAAACACAACAGCAAGGAAGGCATTCATGATTAGAAATACTTCACGGCTTTCTGCTCAATTTTCTGTCACCCTGGAGGTTAGGCGTGAGCACATAGGTATTGACATTTCCACAAGCAAGGTCTTACTTGCCATCTTTCCATTAGCATTATACTTCACCAACACAATCACTGACGAAACACACTGTTGAAGCACAAAATTCCATTTAACAACCAGTCTGGTGTTTCCTTTGAAGCAGGGTGGAGACAATGTTGGCGCGGAGGTATCGCCATCAGAGGGCTTGGTTTCTCCCCTGTCGGCGGTCGCCGTTTCAATCATTCTCCATCCGCTAGCTCCTGGCGACGTGCTAATCACTTGCTGGGTAAGCATCGCCGGCCTGGACAGTCCCTTTCAGCTGGAAGTTTCTGCTTGTGTTTCCGGTCCTAAACTCAAGATCGAGCCAAAGGAACTCCAATGGGGAAAGGTAGGGAGCTAACAATCTACCGCAGGCTTACCCTCCTCCGCGCTGTAAACGATCTGTTCACACTTTTCAGGTGCACCCGTTGAGCTTACATCTGGAGTTCGCTTTAGCTGTACTCTGTAAAGCGGACATTTCTCCAGTAGATCGCCATATTCTACACTTTGCTCCGGCGCCTTATTTGCAGATAAAATGCCTTGACGAAGTGACACAGCAAGTTGAGCTAACCAATATTTCCCCGATCCCAGCTTCAATTCGCTGCTGCGTTCGGAGCAAACATGGGTATTTCACGGTGAAGAACCCAGAAATGATTTTGGAAGGAGGGGCTTCGGCGCCTGTTCATGTAGTCGCAACCTTTCTTGAGGCGGTTGCTTCCACCGGACAGTTGGTAGTCTCTGCTGTTGACGGTCAAAGCCTGTTGGTTTATTTGAAGGGCCAGGTAAGGGTCTTGGCTTCACGCTGATCGTGTATGCAATTTTACAGTAGGGACAAAACATCACGTCGGGATGCTGAGAAACAGGCTAAGGACCCTGACGCCGCTAATGTTGGTGTATCCAGGCGGTCGGCTCCCCTGTTGTATTGGAGGATTTTGGGTCCTGTACTGATTTCCAGCAAGTCTGTACGAGCAACCCCAAGCGCAAAACCTTTACACTCTTGAACAGGGGTAACCGGCCACGTCAGATACACTTTCTGGACGGATCAAGAAACGCATACTCGCGACAGGTCAATGATGCGCAGCAAAAATTCAAGGTGCAGCCAAGCGAGTTTGTACTGGGACCAGACAGCTCAATGGAGGTGAGGTATTGCCGTCCAGCGCCCGTGCAACCCGGTGTAGTCTTCAAAATCAGCCTTGATACCGCCAATCGTTGGAGTAAAGCCTTTCTAAACTTGTGCAGGTTGCAATCGAAGCCTTGAGTACGTTGCCGGGCAGAGCTTCGCAAGTTATTATTTGCCAGGAGTCCTTCGGTCCTGGCACAACGCCAGTGCGCATCGCTAGAACACTCGCCACAGCAGACTTTTTCACTCCAAATCTTGTTGCAACACCATCATCTCTGGCCTTTAAGTGAGATGCAACCCAGGGAATACGGCAATCAGAGCAACAGCTACCCCTTCAGCTGCTATTCTGTGCATGAGAAAGCTAAGTTTCTCAACAGGGCTTTTGGTGCTCCATATGCTTTGTTGCCTTGTGTTTCTGTGATTCGCTTCGAGGCACGTATGGCGAATGGAAAATGAAACTGAGCTTCTCCGGGAGACAGTACTTCTAAGCAATTCGTCTCCAATCGTTCTTAGATGCAAAGCAAAGGCAACACAGCCTTTCGACGTAGAGCCGAAATCTTTCTCTCTACGTCCGCAAGAAGCGCTGGAAGTTAGTGTGTTTTTCAATACTCTCTACAACGGCCGCCATTCCTCCCGGACAAGGTGAAGCTTGACACACCAGAGGATTGCGTGTATTAGGGCGTATCACTCGATGCAAAACAGTACAGTATCCTGCGTATCTAAGGTAAATGGTGGCGTGCACCACATCAGTTACGACTTACAACTCTGCGATTTCGTATCCTTTAGGGGCTCACTGGAAATCACTTTCAAAGAACATCCAAGAGTAGATGTGATGTCACTAGAAGGGGAAACAGAATTCCCAAATGTTGAGCTTGAAACCACAATGTTGGACTTTGGTTTCATAGTAAATGAAACTACAAAGAGGATTCCACTTCGCATGCGAAACGTCGGATGCGTCCCGGTGACCTACAGTTGGTTTTTAACAGATGCCTACTCATTCAAGGATCTCAAAAGTACACGCGCACACAGCTCAACCTAATAGACTGTAGGACTCATACAAGACGCCCTACATGCTTCAAGTGCCGCCGAATACTAGTTGAAGTGTTTGTTACTCGTCTCCCTTGTTATCGCAGGTGCTGACAATAGTGAACCTTTAAATTCGGAAGGTTCAGGAGTACCGATTCACAAAATCTTTGACTTCACGCCTTTTACGGGAATAATTGAGCCGGGAGCCGTTGAAACTGTTCACGTACGCTTTTGGGGAGTGCCTAACCGCGAAGCTTCCGCTGTAGCCTTGTGCAGCATAGGCAACGGACCGGAATACCCAGTACGCCTAATAGGTAGGCATTTCCACAAGGGTCACCAAACCCCACTGAGATGAATTCACTCCTTTAAATAGGGGCAAGATACTGGCGTTGGACTATCCTTGCTTTTGATGGAATAAGCCTCCTGCGGAGTGCTTGTCTGCCACACAATAGGTCGAGCATCTTCTCCACGGCTGAAGGTCAGCCAAACCGAATTCGACTTTGGGGAACTACCGTACCTTAAGCCAGTCACCGCGGAGGTGATCTTGGCAAATGGCGGCTTGGTTGACCTTAACTTTGCCGTCGACATGGAAAGAGTATCGAGGCCATGGGCCATAGACGTTTCAAAGAGGAAGGGACTCATACGAGCAAATGAGAGATTCAAGCTAGACATAACCTTCATGACAGGTATCTACTGCACCTGCAGCCTTTGTTAAATGTATCTAAAATATGCTGTGAGTGCGCAAGTAAATTCATAGGCTATCTCTGGACTTCGTGTTTCAGGAATACCGGCGGAGGTCATTGAACAGATCTTCGTGGAAGTCGACCACTGCGACCCGATAGCTGTCACGCTTCGTGGAAAAGGAACATACCGTTGTCTCCTCATGGGTCTTCCGCGAGCGCCTGAAGATGGCGGTTGTGAAGAACTAGACCAGAGTAAGCAGTGTTATGTTTCCGAGAATGGATCGACGGTTGTGAGTTTGTACGGCAAGATACCGTAGTCCACTGCACATACGCCTCGCGTAAAGTAGTCTCTGAATTGTTCGTAGTTGGCGCTGTGATGGTAGGGTGTGAAGGAGTTGTCGGCGTTTCTACTGAGAATGGAGCGGCTCTAGCTGTTTGGCAGCAAGCAGCGGAGGTTGACCGGCAGAAACTTTGTAAAATTATGTTGGAACAGTATAATGCAGTAGGCCAGCATGCCAGGGAGCAGCAATTGTTCTCCTGACCGTTACATCTCATAGATCGAGGGGTTTGCTGCCTGGATACAGGGTTCTCGTAATTTGCATGGGTTGCTTTTGTTGTGACTCAAGGCTGCAACTTCAGTATCCAGACATAATGAACAGTGTACAACGGATACAGTGAACGGGCCTAGCAGTGGGAAAGATGAGAGGGAACCGCTTAGGCACGGCTCCAGCTCATCGTTGTCCGTAAGCCCGACACTAGAGCTGAGGGGCAAAATTATGTATTTAGGGTTAGTTTGGTGGTGATGAAGTTAGCAACTGTAGCAGCGGTTCAAAACCGATTCTCCCGGTAGTGCATCTACCCGCAAATATGCATAGTGCCAACCCGCGTCTGAGGCTCATCTCGTGTTAGCCTGTTCCTAGCTTGCGCGCAGTCAGCATGCTTCACCAACTGGCGGCTTCCTGGCGAGGAAACATCGTTTGTTGCAACTCCCGGCAAGTATATTCTTGATTTTGGGAGCGTTGTTGTTGGCCAGTCCAAAACAAGGATAGTGCAACTGCGCAATATGTCTCCCCAGACATTTGGAGTCAAGATTAGCAAGAAGGTCCATAGGAATTCCAGAAGAAGAGACAGCTAGCTCCCTGGCGGCTGGAGACAACGGCAGAAAATTCGCTCGGCGTAATATGCCTACTGAAGCCTTTGTTGGCGGCTGCGTTACTAGCAATGGCTAGCACTCTTAAAAATGGCGCTGGTCATTCTTGCATATGCCAGGGATCGCGTTTCCCCTCTGGTCTTTTGCTCCTTTGCAGGACCTGCAAGGGACTGGATTTCATGTGGAGCCAGATGTGATTAGCCGTTTGCACCCGAATGAACAAACGACAATTGCTGTGACGGCCAAACAGGACAGGGAGGGAGATGCAAATGTTCTCCTCACAGCTTTCGTCTCTGGCAGTCTGAACTACCAGATCACTCTTAAAGGCAAATTTGTTGTGCCGGATCTGCACTTCTACACAGATACATTGGACTTTGGAAGTACCAAAAGGGGTAGGAAGAGCCTATAGAAACGGAAGTGTGATTGGTTCTGCACAGAGTTCAGAGTGCGCCCCACAGAGTTTATTTCCGTCGTCCTATGTGCCTTGGCTACTTGTTAGCTTAACTTCTACAACGGCAGAGATACACAGCAGCAATGCAATAGAAATATTACGATCCGCCGATCCGCTAATTCCGTAGGCCAAGTAGGCTGCCCATTAATTATGGGCAGGAACACCCCCTTTTGCCTCCAGCTGAAGTACATTTGATGGATTTGGCGCTTCAGGACTATGTAAAACGCTGACACTGAGGCTACGAAATGAGAAAAGCGTTCCTGCTCAGTGGCGTTACAGGGGTCTCGTTGATAAGGGTGACAAGGCGCAACGCGATGCTCTCAAGTGTTTTACCATAGAACCCAAGCACTCGGTTGTCGAGCCAGGTGAGCGTGCGCCTGTGCGTGCAACAGCTACTTCTTGCCAGTTTCCCGATAAGTCGTGGCACATTGCGGCTATCTAACCGTCAACTACAGCAGGAACTAAATGTGACTCTTTGCCGAACTTTCGGAAACAGTGAAAGGAGCATATCTCACGAGCAAGGATGTGACTGTGCGACTTCTACAGGGGAGTGGATTGACTTAAAAGTCCAGTTCTTTCCAGAAAAGGCGGAAAAGGAAATATCCGCCCGACTGATATTTTGTATTGAGGACAACCCCAAGTGGAAATGCATAACGGCAACAGGGGCTCCGAAGCTTCATCGGTTGGAATTTGTCCCGTCCTTTGTCGATTTTGGTTACAGCCTTCCCTCACACATTTTGCGGCAAGATGTGATAATTCGCAATAATTCCGATGAGCCTTGCGAGATATATTCTCTTGAATTCGACGAGCAGTACAAGCAAACGAATGCTATGCTCCTGGACTACGACGGGTTCGACGAATCAGGCATTGCCCTGCTGCCCGTCAGGTACTTTATACGATGGACAGTACACTTAACGTGTGTTGATAGGTTCAGAGGGAGGCGGTGTAAGGTCCGCCTGGGCCCTACCACCGTACTCCCAAGTTCCACCATTTGCATCCTCTTAATGCCATTTTCTTGCAAAGATCTGTCTGCGGTGGCCTAACGTACTGACATCCAGTTCTGTTCCTACGCCTCTAAATTAGTGTGTTGTCCCTGGTAACACATTCTGAGATCATTTGTTGCATACGAACCGACCCGGCATTCCAACAGGCTTTCTCAGCTAGACTAATCGGCATAAGAATTGCCTTACCGCTTTCAGTCGTTGTCTTCTTGCATTCAGACCCCCAGGAAAAGCTTGTTGGTCTAGGGTCCGCAAGGCCGCACTGCAAAAGGCTGTGGTCGAAGGCCCTCCTGCTTCAGATTTAGAGGGACTCGGTGCAAAATCTGAGGTTCCAAACAGCGCACGAGGAAGACTGCAAAATGCACAGAGCGAAGCAGGCCCACAGGAACAGCAACCAGGAGAAAGCAGCAGCGATGAATCTGCCGATGAAGGCCCTCAAAAATTCCCCTATAGAGTGCTACCGCCTTGCAGGTCAAGTTAACATACACAAACAGCGGGGGTCCCGATTTTTCTTGTTAGTTGGCTAAGGATCATCTCTGCGTGTATTAGTCAAACCTATGCCGGAAACGTCACTCGCCTCTACAGCACTTTACTCCGTATCCGTGAAATCAGCCTCGCATGGGGCCCTATATGCTTGATAGTACCCAGATGCACAAGTATTTCTACGTTCAGGCAAAGTGCAATAGTCCTGGGTCCAATATGCAGCGGAAAGCGTTCAGTTGCTGCTCACATAGGAGGCGAGGCCCGGCGGCAGCTCACCCTAGATGAATGTGTTGAATGGGCAATCGGTGCTTCCGGGAAGAAGAAAAAGCTTGAATCGGCTGGATTGGAGAACGCACGACTCGTTGAAGAGTTGATTAGGTCCATTGAAGCTCTGGAAGGCGAAGCAGAAGCTACGGGCGGCAAAAAGAGTACGGTAGTGCATGCAAAGGGCGCTGTAAACATCCAAATCGTGTTTGCGTGGCAGTAAGTGGTAGACAAAGGGGCGCTTTAGAAAGCTTTCCTGCGAATACCTGCTCATCCGGAATACCCTGGCAGCTGTAAGTGCGTTGAGGGTTGCAATGCTTCTCATTTTTACTTCTCTCCCCAGATGGCAAAGCAAAAATCAGCAAAGGTGACCGACGAGCAGAAGCCAGTAGCCCCGGACTTCCTTTGCACTTACTGGCAGCGGCAGTTAAGCTGCGCGTGGCACAGCCAGACTGCTTTGCCGGTACAGTTTTTCGCGTCGAGCCTAGTTCATACTGCCCGTCGCTTGCGGATGGAGCAGTTGCTATCTTGAGGGGTCTTCGAAACGAAGATGTCATGGTTACTATAATTAAGGTGCGAATTCTGCAAAGCCTTCTTATGCTAGTGCATTCGAGTCTGCAAGCTCTGCAGCGGCTGAACTGGCTGCCTTGCTTTGCATGGTTGTCAGTTATCAAAGCCGCTTGGTATTTGTAAACGACCCCTTTTGCTTTCCTGTATCTGTCGCAGTTTGGACAGCCAGATTGTCCTCAAAACGAAGGGGAGTCTGCTTCCAACCCATTGTCAGAAGGCATTGCATTCTATAAGGGACTTTTGGCGAAACAACTTCAGAGGGAACGTGAGATTGCAGAACAGCTGGACTCTGGCAAAGGATCAGAAGGTGTTTCTAAGTCTTCCACATCTGGAATGCAATCCGACCTAAAAAAGAGGAGACCCCCTACCGTTGCTGAGGGGGAAGGCCACCCGGCAATTGGGCACCTGACCGATGGAAACGTTGAATCTTTAAAGCACGAGCTGCAGTCACTTCAACAGTCGCGCCAGAGGTTTGAAGGCTACATAAGTACAAGCCGGCTGGCGCAATCGTTCGTCCAGGACCAGGTTGCAGCCTATTCGTCTGCAGAGACTGAGCTTCTGAAGGAGTTAAAGACTGAAATGGAGCAGTCCCCCGTGCCTGTATCATCTTGTGTTGGCTCCAGAAGAACCAGCCAGAGGACATCTCTAGGCTCATTTCAGCGCCTCATCACATTCTCCATTGGATTTGCTAATTCATCGCAACCCATAGAATCTCTGCTTGCACAGCTGCACCCTCTAAGAGAACCCATAATTCCTAGTGAACCACCAGTGCCAGCGGCTAAGTTTCTGGAAGTCGTTCACTACCCATCTTCCTCACCTGCACTGGAACCTCCAGCGAAGTTCTCTCTTTTTGCACCTCTGCCTACAACGGCGATGGAAAAAGCTGAGGAAGAAGAAAGTAAAAATAGAACCAAAAAGCCAAAGGAAACGGCTTCCACTGTCACATCGAGATCAAAGACCAAGCAGGAAAGAGGGTAAGAGCAGCAACAACTAGAAACATACAGTCGAGCAGTACTTTTTTAAATTGCCCTACCTACCAAAAGCAAACTGCACAGGCACATTCGCTTTAGAAACAACCCTCTACCAGCTAGCTCAGGCAGCTCCGCAACAATCTGTCAACTGGCCTACTCAGCGGAGAAGATGAGAGCTTAGCTGCACGCCTTGCAGTGGAACCAGGGTTCACAAAGGCATCAAGGTGGACGTTGCAGCCGCAAACGGAGCAGCGACTGCTCCTCAAATGCTACGTCGATGAAGAGGGCGAGCATGCTTGCACTCTACACTTCGCTGTAGTTGGCGACACCCAAACGTTTCGGCTTGGAGCACGGGCTTCCTGCTCTGTTCCAAGGTTGCTCAATTTTCCTGAAGGGTGTTTTGAACGTGCGGTACAAGACCGGCCCGCTCAGTCTACTATCAAAAGGACCTATATATGCAGTGAGGTATATCTCCGCTTTAGACCGTTGATAACTTTGTCGGAAATCACGCTTCAAAGTATATGCGAAAAGGAGATAATTGCTGTGCCGCGTGTACAAAGTTAAGAGTAACTTTGAGAAACTGTGACGTTGGCACTAAAATCAGGGCTGCTACCAAGTCGTTCCCCTTGAGCAATATAATAGTGCAGGCTAATCTGAAGTGGATATTCTGAATAACACCGCTCACAGGTGCTGATGTAGTGTACGCTGGCTTGCGTTGTTTTGCAGGGCGTCTTTGATTTTGGGCCGCTTCTTGCAGGGCGTTCCACAACAACGGTAAAGTCTCTGTATTCCAAGATGTCTTCAGTTGAGGAGATAGACCTCGTGACGATTCCGCCGGAGCTTTGCGACTTTATGACCCCACTAACCTTGCAGAATGGGTCTCCCTTCACAACCACTGTTAAGGGAATTTTCGCTGGAACAAATGGTCCAGAGGGTAAGGTAAATAGCCGCCTTCCTATCAGGCGAGCTAAAGCAGAATGTTTGGGACCCCCAGAGAGAGAGAGTTAATATGCCGTGTTGTTCATCAACGTGCTAAAACCGTTCATTAACAGGACAGGCTTTTCATTGTCGGCAGTGAGCAAGCTAAACTGGGGGCGTTCAGGGGAAGCTCACTCCTTTACGAGGCTTCTGTTGCTCAGTTGAAACTACCAGGGGACGGAGACAACAGAAAGGCCAGGCAGGAGAACCCATTTTCCTTTTATTTCCTTCCGAAGTGACCCTTGCGCAAAATGCGGTGGCACGCATGCACTTATGGTGCCTACCAAGGAGTGAAGGAGAAGCTACAGATAAATTAGTCTTGACACTGTCGGACAACCAACGGCCACTAGAGGTCAAGCTTTCATCTCATTGTGTTGCCCCCAAAATAAGCCTGCAAGCAGAGAGCATCGTGTTTGGGAGGATCCTCACAGGACAAACTGCAAGAAAGTTAGTGGTTTCCAGAGAATGCCAGCATCTTAGCACGTCCCCATTTTTGCCTAGTGGCTTAAGAGCTAGTCGCACCACTGCAAGCTAAATGCCAGCCATGGTTTTCGCTGTGCCTGCCCCGCCCGTAGTTGGCATTTGCAACGGTGGCAACATTTTGACCAGGGAAACCTTGGTATTTCACAGTCTAATGCGCGTGGATATTTCAAGGTAAAATCTCACAGCAAGACACAAATTATTTCTCCATACTTCGGGAATTCGCACCTTATTGTGTACTGGGTGTGAGCAGAACTGTCTTTGTTGAGAATCCTACTCCTTTTGAAGTCCGATGGAATTTCACAGCCCAAGAGGTGCCTTCAAAATGCTTTTCTTTCGACCCTGAGCAAGGTGGAATCTTGGGTGCATTCTCCAGCCAACCACTTAACGTTGTGTACGAGGCTCCTCTAAAGCCATCTACGGCACAGTGCCGCCTTAGCTTCAGATGCACAGATGCCGAGGGAATTTCAAACGGCTCTGAAGTTAAAGGCATGCAAAGTGAGCAACGACGTCCGAGCCCGGCAAAGCGAGTTTCTTGGCATGTCGTGCTTCTCCTTAAAGTTGAGCAAACCAGGAGATCCCCTTGATTTGTGCGTGCTGTATCAGTTTCGGCAGAAGCCTTTTCTATTGATGCTGGAATTGAGCTGCCATCAAAGACGCGAGCCTTCGAATTTGGCAAGGTTCAAGCGTACCAGGAGGCCGAGATACCGTACACCATATTTAATAGGGGGAAATATCCCATCCGTTTTGATATTGAGTAGGTCTACCGACACGGTGACTAGAGAAACGCAGAGTCTCCCCTCGTCTTAAATACTAACAGAAATCACGGGGTTGCTGGTTTGGCAGCAGACCGTGCTGCATCCGAGGTCTTTTCGGCGTTCCTAATAAGTGACCCGTCATTCACTAGAAGGAAGCACGAGTCCGCAAGAAGGAGCGCAAGTATCTGTTATAGTAGTACAGCTACCTATTTCGTACTATCGCTCCGGCAACTCTGTCACTTGAACTGGGCCAATTTTTGTGGTTTCAGCATCTGTAGCCCGAGGCTTCGGAACTTTCTGACGTTAACTCCACAAAACGGTGAAGTTAAGCCAGGGGAGCAACGCAAGGGAATGGCGCGCATTAGCGCCAGGCATGAAGTTGAACTAGCTGGGACAGATGAACTCGCCGTCACTATCAAGGACGTTGAATCGGGTTGCGCCATGGAGCCACCACAGCCGCCAATCCAGGTCATGGCCATTGTCGCGTTCAATGAAGTGTCCTTGTCACCACCGCGGGGCCTCAATTTCGGTCCAGTAGAGAGCGGCAAGACAAGCCTGCTGTACGTTTGGTGGGGGAAGGGGGGAGGAGGGTGCGCGGGAAGGCGTTGAACCTTGGCGTTTTTACTTTGAGATAGAAGCATTTGTGCATGGCTTTGACACGAGGCGCAACGCGTTTACTGCGACGAGATCCTCACAAATGGCATCAAACTTAGACCAGCTTGCTCAAAGTAATCCCAAGACCCCTAGATCGAGAAAATTGGGGGATAAAAAGCAGTAAGTAGGTGCAATTGGGAGCCCTAACTTCTTCCAAATTTGTGCTCGCTCAGTTCCTTCGAACTGGAGAATAAGGGCCGCTTTTCGTTTGACTGGTACATGGTCAACCAAGAGTGCATGTTTACTGCTCCTGAAGAGCCAGCAAGAGGAGCGGAAACCCTTCAGAAGGGGGAGAAGCAAAAGGCAGGGAAGGCCAAGCCCCAGGCGAAGTCTCAAGAGAAGTCGCTCGGAGCAACATTTGGGCCATTCAAGATCGTACCTGTACGAGGCCAGCTAGACCCCGGCAGTAAAACGACAATTCAAGTCGAGTATGGAGCTCAGGGAGACGCATCGCATTCACTTAACTTAGCACTGCTGGTAAGGTTGCTGTTGTTACTCCCACATACATCCTACACACGGGAAGAATGCTCCAGTATAGGCCTCCTCAGAAGAAGGGCCCTTCTTAAGAAGCTATTCCAAACTGTGCAGCTTTGTCACGCTGCAAGGTTAGAAAAAAGAAAAATGTCCCCTGCTCCAGGGCTGTTCTCCACTTGTTCAGGTTAATGGTGTGAGGTTGGGGCACGCTGACGAAGTCTCCGTGAGTTCTGTCGGCCCCATGGCTGCGTTCTTCGCCGATCCCTCTGCCCCCATAGATTTTGACGCTTACGGTCCCATCAGGCCGGCTGCAACGTACTTCATTCAAGGCCAGAGCAGTGTTCCATGCATCAGTCTCGAGGTGAGGATCAGCAGGGATCTCCCAACATGTCATTTGCAATGCATTTAAAGCGAACTCACCAGCGCCAGAAACACTGCTGTTGGCATTGAAAATGTTGCCCATACATATGTAAGAGAGAACACCGCTTAAGGGAGCCTGTCTGAAATTCAGATTCCATACATATTGCCCCTACTGGACGACCCACTGCTTGAAATGTAATTTGCAGCCAGAAAAGCTCTTCCATGAGCAAGCATTGGCAACTTCAATGGATGAGGCATATGCCATCTGGCAAAAACGCAGCGGAACAATTTTTGTACAAGATGAAAACTGTCTGTGCTTCGGCCCCGTCATTGCTGGCTCCCAAGGATCGGCGTCGGCTGTCGTTGAAACAATTCGCATTGACAATCCCCAGCTCATCCCTGCGGAGATAATATTCGAGATTAAGCAAGCTTCTAGAGGACCGCATGATAAGAACGCAAGTGGACTGCGCCTTGAAATCAGAGACTCAACAACGTTGCAGCTTTTTCTGAAGGCACGTTGTCGCTTTAAAAGCCTGAGGCATGTGCATGTTGAAAATGCGTCTGCTCGTTGTGCAGCAACAGGTAGCGGACGAGCCAGCATTTGATGTACAACCGAAGCGCATTGTGGTTGCTCCTCACGATTATGCCCATGCTACTCTGTCATTCAAGCCCACATCACTTCAACAATATAGCTCTTCCCTTAGAATTGCAGTGGAAAAATCGGCTAATCCTCTCACCGGTCAGGCGCAATTTGATTTGCGCGGCGAAGGGACCCTTCCAAGCATAACATTGGCCTTTCCAGTGTCAGTTGGTCAAAGGGACACAAGTACGTGCACCCTGCGTGCGCTTGGTTGCACCGTACCCTCTAATAAACTATTAGAACACATATGCATGCGGAAGATGGCCCCTCATGTAGATATAAATCCCGTTACTCTTGACAATTGTCGAAGAATGCCAATGCCCTGACTCAGAACCAAAGTGCCACCTGCCGTACTTTGATTTTGGGCGCGTCGCTGTCTCGCGGACGGCGACAATTCCTGTAGTCGCTAGGAACGAAGGGATCATCCCCGCTACAGCTCGTGTGCAGCTGCCCCCTTGTGACTCCATTGATTTTGACTTGCCCCACTCGATGACGCTAAAGCCAAAGGAGGAAAGAAATTTTTCCGTGAGGCATAGCTCTTCTTGATAGAGAGTGATACATGCCCTGAGACTATGAAGACCAAACGAATCGCTACATACTGCGTATGTGTGAAGCCGGAACATCCAACCAATCAAGCAGGGCTTTTTCTTCTCGGAGACAAAACTTCTGCTTATTCTCTGTGGTGACGCTGCAGCTGTCCTACCGGCCGAAAATACCCGGAGAGCTGGACTACAGATTCCGCATCATGACTCATGCTAATCCTTTTGAAAACGTTGAGATTCATATTAAGGGATGGGCCTTTTCAGAAGAACTTGTCTGGTCTGCGGTGAACCCCCCGAGTCAAACTGGTCTGCGGATCGGTGACGGGGAACTCCTGGATGGAAACCACCTCATGTTTGACGATGTGCCGCTTGGCAAGACGGTTTTTCACGAGCTTACACTTCGCAACATTTCGACACAGGCCATATCGTTCGACCTAAACGTGGAGTCATTAGGGCAACTAAAGGAAAAGTTGGTTTTCACGCCTGCAGGAGGGACGCTTGCTCCGAATACTGCGTGTTCAGTGAATATATCCTTTAAAACTGAAGAACCGATTAGCGTAACTCGCCACCCAATCTGCTTCCCAGCTTTCTTTTCGCAAGGATCAGAGAACAGCTCCATCTCTTCAAAGGTTCCGCCTAAACTCAAGGGGAAGGCAAAAAACAAGCAGGGGGACTCCAGATCAGACGGAGCGGCGACAGGGAGAGGAGACGCTCAATCACCGGAAGAGCTGATACTGTACATCTCCGTTGCAAGCGATATTCGCCAATGCGAACTAGGCATTGAAAGGATTGATTTCGAGGCCACAACCCTCTTCAAATCTCGTCTGTTCTCGTTCACTGTGGTGAGTTGTAATATCTGCCTATGCAAAGCTCACAACGAAACTAAACCTAGCTAGAAACCTAAACCTAGCTCTCCTACGTCTAAGAGGCCCCTCGTTTTGCCTTTCATTGGGCCACACTCCTGCCCGCTGCTAGTGCATAAACTTGCTGTGTTTTTGATGCAGAGTAATACCTCTGCAGTGTCCTTACCGTATGAAATGTTCTTCGAGAAGGAAGGCGAGCGCGATGATCCTGGTTTTTACAAAGTGTCTCCTTGCCGTGGCCATATTTCCAGTGGGGGACAGCAGGTAACGAATTCAGTGGTCACTTAAAGCCTTTAGTGGCCGTAAAAACAGGGGCATATGTGCTGCTGCTACGACGTTGAGTATACCACTAGCAAGGCAGTCTCCAGCCCCCTTACCCGCCGTTGTAAACAATAATCCGAGTAGAGCTCAAGGAGGCAAACGTGGAAAATGGTGGAAGGGCAAGAGCTTTTGCATTTTGCCGTGCAGATCGTGCAAGTAACATTCTCTCCTAAAGAGATGGCGGACTTTGAGAGAACCCTCGTTTGTAGCTTTCCGAATTTAGTTAACGGATCATCACGGGTCTCCGTCCCCGTGACCGCCACCGCTATTCGGCCGATATGCCACCTTGAAATACCTCCGACAGATTATCTTGAACGACGCCCACAGAGCTCTGTCCTCGCGCTTTCCGATAATGTAGCAGTGAGCATGAACTCGTGAACATTTCGCGCTGCAGACCTTCTACTAGCATATTTGAGTGCTGTTGAACATACAGTAGTCAACCAAACGCCTATGCCGACAAACACCTATCCGAACCACTATCTAAATAATGTAGAATAGAGAGATGTCATGCTAATTTGTATACAACTGCAGGTGCTGGAAATTGAGGGAGTCGGAGTTGGCGTCCGCCACACTAAACGAATTCATGTGCACAACCCGACTGCTTCTGACATAGATTTTGAGTGTGAACCCGAGCATGCTTCGAACGAAATCGCAGCACTTTCTCCAAGTGCCAACATGTCAGTTCAGCCTTTTAAATGCCTGACTCGACGGGGGCGTGTCCTCGCCTGCAAGAAAACGGAACTCGTCTTTGAATACACGGCAACACAACTGGGTGTTATCGAAAGGCTTTGGACGTTTTCAGTACCATGTACGCCAACCTAAAAAAACATCCGTTTGCGCGTTAAAGAGGTTCAAGCGAACAACTATAAAAAAAACAATAGTGCTGTGGTGACTACAAACGGTTCAACACATGGCAATGCCAGTCCGTCACGATTGGGTCGGGGCTCATAGGAGTTGTATGAAACTGAGAATGCCTGGGCGGTACCCATCCCATTTACGTTAGTTTTTGTGCGCTTCACTCTGATATTCAGCAAAGGAGCTGTCCCAGACATTGCTTTTGGTTGGACGAGCTATAGAACCTCATGTTACGCTTGAAACATCGCGAGTAAGCTTTCCGCCGACGATAGTGGGGCGCACAGTTGAAGAAAAAGTATTACTACATAACAAGGAATCCATTCCTATTTCCTTCCAGTTTGATAGGTGAGTAATACGTGTTCTTCCCTGAAACCTTTGCAGCAATTGAAGTCCCCGCAGTGGTCCGTAGCGTAATATTTAGTTCGCACAAGCACATAGTCACTCTTTAGGACATATGGGCAGCCCCAAGTAATGCAAAAACTAATGTTTGCTTCGCCCCAGCATGTATTCAATTTAAGAAGAAGGCCGTTATACTGCTCACGCAAAGTAGACGAGAAAGTAGTTGTCGACAATATAGTCAGCCAAGCGCGTACCATCGTACGCGCAAGCCTCAACCACATCCCACTTTCGCATGTTATTAGACTCATCTACAGTGCCTAATCAATCCATTGAGGTCTATGATTGGAGGGAATCTCCCGTGAACAGTCTATTTTCTCAGATTCATTTCTCCTGCATGCATGTGCAGAGCGCAGCTACAGGCTGCTGGATTAGAACTGAAAATTACACCACTTAGTGGCAACGTAGCTCCGGAGAGTTCCGTTCCGATTAGGATATGCATGACCCCATCTGAACAGAAGAACATAAGCGTCAGTATTCCCTGCAAAATCAACCAAAAGTTCCGAGACCTCAGGTTAGATATCAAAGGAGAGGGATACTGCCTCATGCCTTCCTTGAAACTCGTGGAGGAAGGTAAGCTGGGCGAAGTTCCAACCGTTCCGTTTATGCTGCTATGAACATGCCTAATAAGCACATGCCTAATAAACAATTCTTCTATATGCCTAGCTACCCCGTTGCCGTCCCCTTCAGTTTAACCAAAAGTGCTGGGGCATGCAGGTATCAGAGAGGAAACATCTTGGTGACTTTTCAGACACCGAACGCGTTCTAGAAGGCGATTCAGAGAGCTTTGACTTCGGATGCTTACTGGCTGGACAGAATAAACAGGTCTTGTTGAAGTTAGGCAACAATGGAAAGTATGACTTCAGCTTCAGGTGGATTACAAAGGATGCAAGAAACTACGGCGGTGCAGGGAGCATATCTATTCAACCAATGGAGGGTGAGTAACAGGAATGAGTGTTGGCGCTCGAAAGTCTCACGTACTTTGCAACCCGGGTTGCTGCAAATGAAGCGGCAAAAGGCTCGTTTAGGATCTTTAACTACAGCAGCAGAGCAACTGTGTTGCCCGATTTTTCGTTTATCCAAGTATCTAGCACAGCTCACTTGACCGATTTTACCCAAAGCATATGCATCGTGAATAATGTGCATTACAAGAGGCTATATTAATCCCTTTATAACATCGCACAACATATATACCGATGTCAAGCCCTTTTACAGGTACACAGGGCAAGTTTTGAGCAACTTATGCAGTTCCTACGGCCAAAGCCACCGCTAGAACGAAATCTAAGTCGAGAAAAATCTTTTGGTGATTTCACATGGGATACCAGTGGAGTTCCTACTCCGCATCTCGCCTTCCAACTGCAATGATGCGCTGTTTGGTCAGGATATATTCCCAAGGGACAGGTTTTCGATTGCATAGCTGTTTTTGCGCCAGTCGCCTCAACAAATCTGCAATCCTTGCAAGCAACGTGTGAGGTTCAAGGGAAAAAGATATGCAAGTTGCTGCTGACCGGTTCTTGCACAGACCCAAAGGTATCGTTCTCCTTTATAACCCACGATTTTGGAGCGCTCTTCGTGCCGCAAGCGTCGGATGTGCCTTTCGATGGCTTGTCCGTCAAACCTCGCATATCCTCTCGAACTGTGCTAAAGATCACAAATACAGATACCTACCACCAGTGCTCCATATCTTCGCCCTTTTCACCAACCGACGCTTTCGATTTCCAGCCACTGCAAGTCAGCTTGTCCCCTGAAGAGGTGTTGGAAATTCCAATCACCTTCACTCCTAGAGAAACAAAGCTTTACAAGGCCAAAATACCCTTCTTCGTCAACGACCAACTCGCTGCCACTATTCAGCTATCTGGTAAAGGGATCCCAGTCAGGTAAAAGTACTTTTATTGCACTTGCCTAACAGAATGGTAGCTCCATTGATCTGCGATATATATGTTTTTCTCAGTCAACAGTACGGGGCCAGCTACTAACACGATGACATGCTATTTCACTACCTCTTCATAACTTCAACATTTCGCTTGCTTTTTCATAAGCCGAAGCCATTAATTACCCTCAGTGCATTTGCTCACCGTTGTTTCGTAGAGTCGAAGCGCACGCTACTGAGAACGGGATCGTCAAACTTCAACCAGTCCTGCGCGGCAAAGGATCATCCCAATCAATCCGCATCACCAACCATTCCGAAAAGCCAATTTCATTTTACCTAAAGAGTCCAGATGGGGAGCTCAGGTAACGCACGGTTGAAATCTTGAACAAACGGGCCTATTGGTTTCATTCCATAGGAAGGTATACTTTCTAAATATAGTGCAAACTCGGAGGGCTACTGCGTGAATGCGGCGTTTTTGTCAACATCCAGCACCAAGGGAGTTAGTTGGCGGCCCGCATCTTCGCCTTCCTCAATGATAAAGCTGTTGCCCAAGCAGAGCATTGGGACTGAAATACTCTTCCGTCCCGCGGCTCCATGCCAAGAGTTTCAGTTACCTTTGGTCGCAGAGTGCTTGGCTGAGAGTGTTCATGGGCCTCAGGCAGTCCCAGTTTTCCTATGCAAGATTTCGGGGAAGTGCTTTGAAACGGAGGTAAGGTGCAACTGTAGGCCTGGTTACCAAATTACCGAAGGCATTCTTTAGGTGAAATGAGCTCAAAAGAAGATCCGCTGGAGGGTATATTTAAATTGCGTCAAGTGCCGCATTCCACCTTATGCTTCAAAAGGCGCTCAACAGCATGACAACAAGAAAAGTCGTCGCTGTTGGCAGACAATTATGTTAAAGGCCTCCAGTGTATGTCTGCAATCGCTTCGTGCTGTTCTGCAGCTCCGGCTTCGACCCCCATCAGTGGCATTTGGTCAGGTTGTTGTTGGATCGTGGATGTCCCAAGACGTGCTGTTGTCCAATATTGGGGAGCTGCCTATGACTTTCCGATTCTCGAATTCGGAGTCGCATCCAGGCTTGATCTCAATTAGCCCGTCCCATGGGACATTACAACCGCGAGCGAATCAACCCGTTACAGTAACATTCCGTCCCATAAAGGTAATCCGTCACTCCTCCCTCAAAGCTGTTCATGCGGAATGTGACGAGAGCAGCAGATGCATTCTGCAAGCCCCCATGGTCCCCAAGGGTCTGGGTATTCTTCGATAGCTGTCGTCATATCAGGCTCAAAACTGGCAAGACCACAAGCAATGATCTACTCTACCTTTGAGCGTTTCGACTGTTTTGCAGCCGACAGAGCAGTTCGAGATAGATGACATCATATGCTTTGGGCATGCAGTTTCTGGTCCAAAAGAGCCACATACAGAGGTGGCGCGCTTGAATTTCACTGTGACCGGGCAAAGCATTCCATTGCCGGCTGATGCACTTCATGTGATTAAATTTGCCACCAGTGTACGCTCCCCAGCCACGAAGACGTTTTTCCTAAAAAACCCGAAGAAAGTAGAGTGGACGACGACCCCGAGTATATCACTTGAATCTCCAAAGGATGGCAATTATTTCTCTTGCCAGCCTACTGGGCCCATCACAATCCCTCCTCAACAAAAGGTGCCTCTTCAGCTCACCTACCATCCAATGACGATGACCCTTGAAGCCGGCAGTCAAGAACAAATCGGCGCAAAGGGAACACGCCGCGCCCTCCCTTCACAGCACACAGCCACACTCTTCTGCGCCCTTCCAGCTGGAGAAGCCTGCTGCATAAGGTGACTAGCCTTGCCAACATTTCGAAGCGATTCCACACCTCTCTATACAGTACTATGTATACATTACAAGCGCGATTTGCATAAGAGTGTTTTCTAGAGCCCCAAATGCCATCTCGTTACAGAACATGCTGTCGCAGCACAGATAGATTCCCTTGCTGAATGCAGAGCGAGCATCCTCCAAGTGAATTTACCTGTGTTGCGACATGTGTAACCATGCTCGGTGTCTTGAATATTTAACCAAATTTGCATCTCTGCGGCTCAGGATGATCGGCACAGCTTCAGAGCCAACTGTGGAGCAAACTGTGGAGACGGTAGCCACCTGCAAGCAACATACCGCTGTGAATATCAAAATTCGTAATTGGCTGGATACAAGACAAACATTTAACGCTGGCTTTACAATCTTGCAACCTTCCGGAGGGCAGGGCATACAAATTCAGGTAGGGATTCCAAGGCACCATCCCCCTTCGAAACCAAAAAGTTGCAGGAAGTTGTCTATAATATGGCCTGCCCAGCTCTACGTCTCCCTTCAGGATCAAGCTATGTTCAGAAGCTACCCAATGTATAATATTCTTTGTGTACTTCCACAACTAACTAAACAGTTGCAGTCAGTGCATCTTGCGGGATGTTTGTGTGTGCATTTAGGCTCCCTCCTTCCTCGACATCGCTGGAGGTCAGGCCCGAGAATACAGATTTACCGCGTTTGCACTGAAGCCTTGCAACGCCCTTATCCGTTTCCAATTCACAAATCCATCGACGGGAGACTTCACACTTGCGGAGGCCAAGATTCAATTTACTGAAGGAGGGTGGATGGACACCATTTTTTTCGAAGGGAATATACGGCAGCTTTTCCGCCACAGACTGGAAATTGAAAACTTGTCGAACAAGCGTACAACCATCCAGTGCACATCGGCTCACCAAGAAGTAACCTTCAGTCCCCAACCTTTCATCATTGGTCCTCTGGCAACCGGGGTGCTAGATGTTTTAATGCGCGCGACCGCGCCCGGAAATGGGGAGACAAGCGTCGTGCTAGCTAGCGAGGAATTGGGCTTGTTCAAGTACCTCGTGAAATATGAAATGCGAAACCCTGGTATAGAGAAAAGGATTACATGCTCGGCACCCCTAGGGAGAGATACACAGCAGTCTGTTCGCTTCATGCACTTTGGAAAGAAAGCAATGACGTATCAAATAAGTTTGGAATGGCCAGCAGATTCCTTAGCACCTCAAAAGACATCAGCTCTACATGAAATCTTCTCTCTAGAGAGCAAGGGAATACAAGTGTCAGCGGACACCGATGGCCAAGGGGTCGAAATGTGTATTCCCATAAAATTTGTTCCTTCTCGGCTGCAAGAAGTTAAGGCGATTCTCTGTGCCCGTGGTCCAGAAGGGCAGGAATACAGAGTAAGCCAGTTGGCAGGCAGTGCAGAAAGCAGCCCCGACAGATAATCCTCAAGGCATGAGTTTTATCGTCATCTCTAGGTTCGATCCGCATTCAAAGGCTTCATGTTGGTGTTGCATTCGTGCTGATTTGGGTAGGCGCTTCTAGTTGGGCGTACCACGCCTCCGGAGCCTCAAGGCCCTATGAAGGTGCCAAAGGGCAAAGGCCTTGCGCTGGAATTTAAAAACCCACTGGAGACAGCTACTGAATTTACAGCACAGGTGCGTTTCTCAGACCTTCTTCGTCGATTTCCACACAACATGGCTTCTGTCAAATTACGTAAGAGTTGACGAGCGCCATCTTTAATTAAAGAATCAGCATCCGGGTCACCGCGCTGTTAGGGGGAAGTCTTTTAGTTGGTTTGTACAGGGTAATTGGTTTGTACACGGCAGTGTGCATTCCCCTTCATCCTGTACTGCAGGTTGACCAGACAGCGTTTGCTTTGGATAAAAGATCCTTTCGCCTAGAGCCCCGGAAATCCACAACTATCACTGTTACACTTAAAACCGAAGCACGGTCTACAGGTACAGTTATGCATGCTCCCACCCGCGCTGAGACGCTGGACCTTTCAAAATGTGGCTAGCTGTCAGCGACACATCAACGCCTCACAGATATCACCTGCAGGCGTTCAGAGCAATGATGCTGTCCTACCGCTGTGTAAAACCGTCGCGTACGAGCAGAACCACCGTGCTGTTGTGGTTTTTCAGGCCGGCTCATGATAAGCGCTGAAGCTCTGCCAAAATGGATCATTTACCTCAAAACCGACTGACATCACAATGACTGCGTAAAAAATTATTCGCTTTCCGTTCTGTCCCCTATTAGGGAAAGAGGAGCAAGCGTGTTGAACACTGGTGGACGGATTCGTAACAGATGCAACTATGCTTGAGAGAGCTTCAATTCCTGCTGGCTGACATGACTCCTCAAAACGGAAAGATGTGGATACACTGAGGTCTCAGCCCTCTGTCGAAGCCCTAAAAGTGCATGTGTAGTCTCCTCAAAAGTCTCGACTGTCTAGGAAAAGGGTCGTGTAGTCAGTACTCACAATATTTTGCTGTCAAACAATGAACGATCGACCTTCGCATCTATCGGCAATATTCCGGAACGAACACCGTTGCTAGCCGACATGCATTCGAACCAGTTCGGCGTTGGAATGAAAAGAATCGGCCCAGACTGTTGATGAATTCCCTGATTGATAAAACCGGATACGCACGCCACTGGCATTGTTTCCATCTGATCGCTTGTGAATACAGTTCGCAACAATGACAGAATGGGGTACGTAGAACAATGCCAGAATAGGGTACGTAGTCCTGATATGATCGGACTTGCTGCGATGTGGCTGATAAATTGAAAGGCTAACGCGCGGGTAGGAGACATACTGAGATGTCCATTGCTGCCTGAGCTCTAGGGCTACACGAAAAGCAGCCTCCTCCACTCAGAGCACCGCGACCGCCTTTCGCTGCTGCCACCCGACAAGCCTTCAGGAAGCTTCAGACGTGTATTTTGCACGTCCCATGCCAACAAAATCATGGGGCAAAACAAAGAGTCGAACAAGTTCTATGACGAGACCAGGAACTCCCGCGCTTCCGGCGGAACCTCAGCCGTCCAGCGTGAGAGGGAGCCCAAGAGGAGCATGCGTGTTTGGCTCATCCATTTTCTGTCATAAGTTGCTCATTAGATTGCTCTTCGCAGTGTCAGTGCGGAGCTCATGATGCATGGGTATCTGCGCGCCGACTAAAAACTCAGTATTCACTGGAGTATGTGGTAGCGGCGCCCATACCCGTGCAGCTACACAAGGTCAAAATATGATACAGGGTGCGTTCACCCCTAATAACTGCGCAATGAACACGTTGCTGTGGGGACCGAGATGTTCCGTCGAACAATAACTGCGGGCGAAGTGTGCCCTTCCCCATAGTCTATTTCGGACGTCGCCTTCTTCACAACCTCATCGAATCCATGATTTTGCCTACCCGCGTCCTTACCTCTAGGTACAACACTCCTGTCCCGTTTGCCGTACACCATTATTCAGAATCAATACTCCCTTGTGTTTCTGGGGCAACTTCTTCCGGTGGCAGTGGATCGGTGGGCTTTGGATATTGGAGGACTTTATCTGCTTCGGGTTCTGGAGGTACTTCATACTCCCCCGACGGGGAAGGAAAAGCGACTGTCACAGTCTCAGAAAGCCCGGGTTTCACCTCTGGGAACCCAGTAGCTGTTGACGGGGCATTTGCCTCAGCTGTGGGCAGCTTCTCAAACAGAACTGTGAGATTTTCGAATCGTTTGTCGTCAGCCATAGCGGCAACTTTCACTGAGACTACTTCACAAGGACTCTCACCAGCAGACGCCATCAGGGCAGCAACTGCAGCATCAACGCCACCCCCTAGTTCCTGGGCTACTTTCCACGCGAGTGGGTTCGTGAACACCCGAAATGATGTTTGTTCCATCACCTGCTTGAATCTACTCGGACGCAACTCGTAAACAAGCGAAATGTCAAAGCCGCCGGGTGCCGGTGACATTCTATACGTGAAGGCCGTCCCTGTGTGGGAGCCCGAGTGATAAGGCAACGTTACACTGGTTGTACGTGTTTCTCCAGCCTGAGACACCGCAGCAATTAAGAAAAACAGGACAAGAGTCGGATTCGTATGGACCAAAAGGACACCTGCCATCTAGGCACCCTCATTGCAGGCAACTGAACCACCATCAGCATCCACGCATATTTGCTCAAGAAAGGTGTTCAGAGACACGACGAAAAGCCTGGAAAGGCGTCTATGCAACGAAAAAAACCAAAAGTCATTCGTTCCGCGTTTAAGGCTAAGTTTGGCTTGAGTAGTGGTGAAGTGTTGGTCGAACGCACCTTGTGGTAAGTCTTGACATCAAACGTCCTGCTGGACGCGTTGAACTCTGCCGAGAGACAAGGCGCGGCGTTGATGATGAAGTGCATAGGGGCACGCGTAGCGGACACCCGGGCTGATCCTACTGGAACATAACTTTTAAGGAGGAACATCTCATCTAGAGGGGTGCACATTCCGGTGTTTCCATTCATTGTGTACCTCGGACTACAAAAACACTCGTGTGCAGAAGCACCTTGGATGCATTCCATGATCGAGTCCCCCTTTCCACAGATGGATGGATCCGAGCACTCAACGGGATCGCAAGCCTTTACCACATGGGTCGTTTCATCTCCCACTGTCTTAATCTCCGAAATGCACTCGCAGGAGTAAGCGTCAGAGCCGTCAGAAACGCAAACCGCATCGGCTCCGAAAATTTTGCAGGTGTCAGCCTGGCATGCAGGAAGAGAAGCGCACATTCCAGTTTCCGTGTGCAGTGCATAACCCGCCTTGCATTTGCAAATATGTTTGCCCGAGTCCTTGTCTACCAGACACGCTTCGACAGCTTCCGTTGCACCGCATTCACTCAGAGAGCAGGTAGTGGTGGACAGTTCGCACATCTCGCGATTTCGATTGTACCGCCATCCAGGCATACACTCCGGCAGACACTCCCTAGACGCGTTCATCTGGAAGCCCTCTGCGCATGTGTACGTCCGTTGCTCCCCTTGCTTGACGCATGTCTTCACACCTTCTTGCCAACCAAAAGCAGGCGAATAGCAGTCTTCCTCTACACATGTTCGTAACTGCAAATCCCATTTAAAGCCATCTTTACATGCGCATATCCTGCCGCCAAGGCCCATGGAGCAGTGCTCCGCGTCGTGCGCCTCGGCTGGACCGCAGAGAGCAGCTTCTTCGTCCGAGCACTTTTCCTGGCACTTGTTGTCTCTCCTATTCAACACGTACCCCGTGCGACACGTGCAGATGAATTTTCCAGTTATTGGATGCTCCCTGCATGTATTCACCCCCTCTACAGGGCCGCATGGCGCTTCCCTTGCACACCTGTCGTACGGAGCGGGTAAGCACTTGTGCGTTCCCGCATTGAAGACGTAGTTCTTCTCGCAAATGCAAGTTGCCTCATATTTTGTCTGATGTGACGGGTTAGTCACCAGCTTGGACGGGTAGCAGAACTTGACGGCATCTGCAGGGCCGCAGGCATTGTCCGCACAGACATCTGCGACGCACAACGACGAAGACAGGAGCCGCTGGAATACAGTGCAGCTTCAAAGAGAGAGCGGAAAATTTTGTCAAAGCAACAGGATAGAAAGTTACACACGGGCTTTGTTGACGCGATGCGCCGAACACCGCAAGGAATGGTCACTCTGCAACGCAGGCACGTGCTACAGGAGCCCACAGCTCAGATCAGAACAGACTACAAGGCCGAATACTGAAAGGATACAGATGCATCTATCTGCTATCGGTTCAGAAAAGAGCAACTGGTCAGAACAGCCCCCGGGTGCATTGGCTGCCCTGCTACAGGAGATCGTGACCATGGGACCGACCCGGCACACACTTTTGACGGCGTTGGTCTGCAACGAAGGAATCCTTACAGACGCAGGCAACACCAGACAGGCGGCCGCTCTGGGAAAGTTCGAGGCAATGGGATGCCCCCTCTGAAGTAGAGCACATGCTTTCGAACTCTTTACAGCCTGCACCACAACAGCAAAGTAGGTATGCAGCCACATGAGCTACATTTCGTTGATTCGAAAACGAAATCAACGAAATGTAGCTATCGTTGCTTCACAACAAAGAAGAGTGAAGCGGGGGAGAAGCAGCAGGCCATGGCGTCCGGCTTATCTCGCGGCACCGTGCAGTCCAGCACCCGCCAGCAGCTGAGACTGGCATCGCGCCCCCCAACGCTGTGTACTCACTGCAAGAATCCGGAACCTGCAGAAAAGTGCTGCTGCAGGGCTCCTTCGTGCATATTAGCGGATTGCTTGTGCGCGTGCTAGGACAGCAGAGGCCATCCCCGCAGTACAACCCCTGAGCGTTCATCGCAGGTTCCCTCCGGCTGCCGCAGGCAACGCCCTCAATGCCCGCAACACAAAGCCAGAAAGCCTTGCCGCTGTGAATCAGCGAGATGTCATCGCTGGTGTCTGAAGCCCCCGCGACGACGAACAGAGCCGATAAGGCGGAGGTAGTCACCCACATCGCCAGACATCGCCGACGGGCCCCCATCCTCAAGGCTCGGCAGCAGGCTTCGGTTTCCAAATGATCTGATAGATCCTAACAGGAGGCGCAGCAACACCCCATCGCTGCCCACGGCTCGCCGCTCTACTGTGTCGCTTTTTATGATGAGTGCCCTGTCGCGGCGAGGTGCACCCCGCACTCCAGGGGCATTTGGAATGAGACAGGGTGGAACTGGCGGTGAGTCCAGGTAGCAGAGAAGATGAGACAGCACCAGGAAGAGCAACTCATGGGCCAGCGTGTAGTCAGCGGTCAGTACACTTCGCCGGGCAACCCTTGAGATACGAGCTCAAGGTCAGTTACACGGGGGGCTCGCGCTGGCTGTTCCTCTGCATGCTATCATAATTGTGGTGAATGCGCTTTGAGGCTGGGAATTTACGATGCAGGCTCAAAAGTGGCAGCCATTCAATGACAGAACTTGGAGGCCTCGGACCGGTGAGGCAGAGAACGGGCGCGGAGACAAGGTGCCGCTTGGTAGGTCGAAGTGCACATTTCTAATTGCTTTAAAGTACTTGGTATGTGTCATATAGTTTAAAAGTTTTGAAAATTCTGGCAAGAGCAGGCTAAGGGAGAGCATAAACACCACCTGGCAGCTGGGGCCCTTCTGACTGGACCGCAGCCGTCGTTCGTTCCGCTGGATGGTATAGAGTCCCTGCCCAAATTCCATTACTATGGGATGCTTCCTCAGCGTTCCTGTGGGGGTTTAAAACTCCGAGAGAACAGACTCAAGCGGCTGTGTACTGGAGTAAAAATGTTTGGAAGAACGTAGGCAGGCGTCGGTTGCTGCCAACCCAGGCGGGTGGCTCGTTGACAGAAAACGGATATCAAGGGTTGACTGTGCAACACAGTGCGGTTGTGTACCAGTTGCATCGTTATTCTCAACTCTCCGTCCGCCAAAAGCCAGTCGCCTACAGGGTGTTGACTGCTTCATGCGGGAACACCGGCCCTGTACACGATCCTAGGAACACTTAGCGCCAGATTGCAGAGGAGCGGTAACTAGAACTAAAGGCACCCTCGTTTTCCCCTTATATTGTGCAGGGGACAGGGAAGAGCACTGGCACATTGGCTGAGAGGGGCAGGAGACATGAAAGCAAGGTGTGTTGCCTGATCGAGCCAAACGAAATGGTGCCTCGTGGCCTTTCTGTTCCCCAATATCACCCATTAGCTAGAACGGGTTGCTACCGCTCCGTGCTGCTGCTGGGCTAGAAGCTATAATGTAGTAGAACATATTGGCTAGCAGACTGAAGTGCCGAATGCAGGGGATTCGCAGAGCTGCACGATTCCTGACAGCCAACGCAAACCTGCATCAAAAATCCCGCGGAAACTATTGCTCCCCTGGATTTCTTTCCTCTGTGCACAATGGCCACTAGAAGAGCCCCAGTTACAACTGATGGTTGTGGTTTAGAACAGTTCCTTCAGATGGTGTGCAGATCCCTCATGCCAGACGCCTCGTTTTGCGCACTGTAGACAAGGATAATCCTTGCACCTCCGATTGCAACGAGTGGGCAAAACCGACGTGCAGTATCAAGGAAGCCAGCCCCTGTGCACAGCGCTCCCTTGATATCCACTTGCTTCCACTGCCGCTAAGTATTATGGGCAGTATCACCATAGAAGCCTTGCTAGACTGTAGGGAAAGTGAACGCCTTGGCTCACATGAAGTGTATAATGCAGCAGCAGTAGGGCAGTAGGCTGGCAGAGGTAGACAAGAAGGCGTAGTGCCGAAGTGTCGTGCAGCGAATCGTACGATACCGGATGTTGCAGCAACAAGCGTATGCAACCCACAAGAGGAATACGGTGCGGCGAGCCCCGCGGAGGGCGGTTTGCACAGTTGCAGGACTATAGAAAAGACTATCGCAAAGACTAAATCCAAATATCAACAACGGAAAGACGAAGGTATTATTCGCGTCCTTTAGGGCCTGAGTCTGCTGGGATGTCTGGCAGTCTACCAAAGCTACAGGTTGAGTTAGAGGCCTTTAGAAGGCGAGAATCAAAGGAGACCTGCACGAATACGACCCCTACGAAGCAGCGAATCTGAGACACGAAATGCCGATAAGGCTGAGTAAAATACCTCATTGAGCACTGCACAAAAAGCAACAAAGTTGGTCACTGATCAACATGGAACTCGGCGTTCAAATGCGCACATGCGCTTGTACGTCTGAATGGTGCTGCGGACAACTGGAGACACGAGCAAACACCCCAGACGCGAAACGTCATGAGGAGACTTTTCTTCTTGACAGTTGCCCCAAGGCACTCACATCTGCCACACAGATGCAAGAGCCCAAGCAGAAAAGGGACACAAAAGCCCAGAACACAGGAGCGGCAGCACGCGCTTAATGTACAAGGAGTTTCAGCGCAGCAGCCAGTCGCGCGAAGGGCAGTGCCCCCTCTGACCAGCACGGGGGCATGGAGTGTTAATCCACAAATGGGGACACGAGAGAATACACATGAGCATAAAACCGCAAGTCAACTTTCGCTGCTGACCAACGCTCCGCACCGGCCCCAAGAGAGCCCGTCTCAAAGACGTGTGGCCCAATGCGCGGTGCTCCTAGGAGCCCAGCTGACTCCTAAACAACGCTGCAAGCACTGCGAGCTGCGCACGAAAACTAGTGGAAAACCCCAAACACACACGTTTCACGCGGTCCTGAGCTGGCGTCCCTGCCCTTCGGTCAGCCCTGTGCTGCCCCCTTTTCGGCATGAAGCATCAATGAAGCCAAGAAGAGGAGAAACACATAACTGAAGGGGAAAGTTAGGAGAAATCCTGCTGTAAGAGCTGCTCCAGGGGCTGGGTATTTCTCCTTAGCCAGGTGAGGACCTCCTCGCTTGTGACAGAAACTGCCTTGGGCAAGGGAGGGCGGAAGGGGGCCTTCTTTTCTTTCGCAGCCAGCCGAGAAGATATGCGTGAAAACACCTCTCGGTGGTATGCATCAAGCCACGCTGCCTCCTGAAAGAGACGCACGAACGCGGGAACAGGTGCTGTGTAGAAGCTGGCATTGCTTGTACACACCAACGCTTGAAACAGCCGGACACCTCAACATGCAAGTGCAAACAGAAGCGTTAAGCATATGGACGGACTCGACTACCCTGCCGGCCTGCAGCGTGCGCCTCAGGTCAAGCCCCCCAGCTACCCAATCTAGCAAGCTAGCTACACAGCACAATTCCGTCCGACAACACCAAAGCTGTCTGCTGTCCTGGCCAACCTGAGGGGTGAGCAGCGAAGTGTCGATTAATCTGGCCTGAATAGGCACCAGGGTAAGAGACTCGAACTGCAAAAACCGACGCCCCCGATAGGTAAGGCTGCTCCTACAAGGCAGCCCACACATGGTGAAGAAACCCCGTGCAAAGTATGTATGGGTGCCCGACGAGTGTCCCCGACGAGTATACCGACGAGATGTATACTACGGAATCCGTAGGGATAAGCTAACCACTCATACGCAGCATGTACGCTACAGCGACTTCCATCAGGCAACTGAGTAAAGAACCGGCAGGTAGAAGTCCTCCCACGTACACCTCACCCGATATCATGGGTTTCTTGCTTGGAGATGTAGAATCGATTTTTTAAAGACAAATGGAGAGACCAATAGGCACAAGAATATAAAGAGTGAGTGACGTAAAAAAAGACAGCTCTGCACAGACGGTGAATACCTCTGCAACTTACGGCTTCACCGCTGCGAGGTTCTCAATGCGAATCCCGAAGGAACCATCCTTATAAAAGCCTGGTTCGATAGAAAGGACGGCGCCCGGCTTCACTTCGTGCAAGGACGCCACACCCTACAAACAGGTCATACCAAAACTGGGAAAAGTACACCAAAGGAGAACAACCCCGGCCAAAAAGAGGAGTGGATACAGTCAGAAAAAAAACAAGCAAAAGTATCCAACCCCTCGGAGATTAGCAGGAATGGCAGGATTAGTAGCCGTATCTGGGAAGAAGCAAGTCCCACAACCGTGGTAAAAGGCACCTGATTCTCACCGTCAAACGGGGAGAAATGCCAATGGGACCTTCGTGCACGTTGAGAAAGTGCCCCACTCCGTGGCCAGTCCCTATAATTGACACAAGAGCAACATTAAAGAACCCCGATGAGAGGTAGCGAGCTTATCTGGTTGGCACTTCCTCGTAATTATGCCTTCTCCTCTTCCCGTCTTCCTAAGTTTATAGCTAAGCATTCGTTTGCATATCTGTCAACATTTAGCTATCTCCGCGCATGTCTGCGTGTGTGTTTGTGTCAAATCATCACTATCCATCTACGTGGTTCTGTTTCGTTCACTTGTTGCTCTGTATCCATCTCACTGGGACCTGCTGCGTTGGTCTCTATTTACGCCCTGCTCCTGCCGTCACAAGTCAGTGTCTGTTTTGGTATATCGAAGTGCATGCAGGTTTCCTAGTTCTTTTGCTGCTGTGCCGACCGTGAAGATAGTCGAGGCCTTTGTTCCAGAGGTGCTGCCGTGCCAGTGCATCGATCTGCGGTCCCCTAGTGCCCTCCGGAAACTTCTGCGCGCTCAGCCCAATCATCCCCTGAAAACAAACGAACCAGAAGGCACCGGTCCTTCGGCATGCGTAGAAGCATAAGCACGCCAAAGATGCCATGAACGAGGCATAAATGGGCAAAACTTATATGTACAATAGCAGAGGCAGAAGCAAAAGCCAGCACAATAACCGGAGACGCACAATGCTACAGCCCATCCAAAGCGCAGCGTCACTGGCAAGACGAGTGGCATCAGAGGCCGAGACAAGGGAAACACCTATCTGGTGTGCAAACAATCACGTATCGGCAAGGCCCAAAGGGATCACCTTTAGCACAAGGGTGTACGCCTCCTTTTGCTCCTCGGTGGGATCGCCCAAATGCAGCGTGCGCGTAACATCTGTTGTCCCCGTCAGGTATTGTCCTCCCGAGTCCAGCAAAAACACAGGGGCCTCGTCTTGAGCTAGGGGACATCCACCAGGGCCCCTAACTGTTACGCATAGCCGACCTCCAGGCTCTGATAGCGAAGCCTTTAGCTGTAGACTCGTCTTCGGGTCCGGCCTGAAAGGCACAATATAAAATATAATAGAGGCGTGCAACACCTGCTGCAGCTACCGCTGATGCTGCTTCCGGGCGTGTCTAAACACCGGCGATGTCCGTCGCTGGAGCCAGCCGATTTCGGCTAGAACAAATATTAGTCGAGGTTCAGGAGGGCACACAAGAAAAGGAAAAGCAATGAAGATTGGCCCTTGGTGCCCCTTTCCTCTAGGTGTGCATCTACCTGTAATGCGCTAAGGCGCAGTTGGAGCCAAAGCAAGAGATTGATGTGAAGGACGTCCCCCTAAACAATGGACACTTGGCAAGTAACAAAAAAGGGAGGAACAAACGGACAGACAATGCACGAGGAGGCAGTTCATGGAGCGCGGAGACGGAAACTGCGAAAGTGAAGTAGCCAGTAAGCCAAGACGACGAAGCTTTCCTGCGCCCAATACTGTGTGCAGCTGTCACTGTATTTGCTGTCTCAGCTGCTCTTGCTGTGGGACCAGCCCCATTCGTGGTGGACAGTTTGGTGCATGTGATGTGGGGGCTACTTACTGTGGCTTCTCTCGCTGCATCAACAGCTTCTTTGAGGGTAAACTCTGTCAGGATGCATTCTTCTTCGCAATGGTCCAGATGCTGCTGTTGGTGTATTGCTGCTGCTCCGGCATTGGCGAGTAGCTGCTTTTCAAACCAGCAGAAGAATGTGGCTAGGGCTGCTCCGTCATCCTCGTGCGCCTCTATCATCCCTCTGAGTTCCACTTCGTCTTTAGAAGCCTGAAAACGCGCAGCAGGAGGCTCGTCGAGGCAACCAGGCAGCCAGGAGTGTATTCGAAACCAACGGATAAACGCGCCTTGTGTGCCTGTGCAGCTCCATAGACTGACGCGAACACTTTCCAGTCAGTAACCGTGTCATATTTGCAGTCAAAAAAGTTCTGCCCCCCGCTTTGCAAATCCTGATGCCGGTACCGTTACTAGGGAATAAAAACAGTTGCTCCACTATCTGCAGGCCACAGCATGCGGCTCCGGAGTGCATGTGCACTACAAACCTTAGCGACGGCGACGGGCGTGTCCTTGACAATCAGACGTCTGGAGTCAGCCACAATGCGGTGTATCGCCAGATTGATCTTGGGGTCCAACCACGCGGCCTGCTGTGCCTCCAGGGCTTCCTGCTTCTTCAGCTTGGGGCTTGGCTCTTGGAGATAACCGTCGCCGCCAGATAGTAGGGAGTCGACGGCAGCCACAAGGCCCCCTTGGCCTCCTCTCTGTTGTTCCCGCTCCTGCTGTTGACCTCCGAATTCCTTTTGCTGCTGCTGCTGCAGGTGATTACGTGCCTCCCAGCTAAACAGGTGCTGCAGGTCGCTGGCGAGCTCTTCATATGGCCTCAATATCGCGCCTTCTTTCTCCAGTTCAGTCTTGGCGGGGGCCAACAGCCTATTGGGGTCCGTGTAGACCCTATGCCAGCGATGCATACAGACGGGCACAAGCACTCAAAAGGAAGGTACTGCATCAGCAAGTGCAGACGAACAAGCCAGATGCAGCACAGCCGCAAAGCTACAGCACCTAATAGGGCACAGCTTGGGCAAGAATCTCGCTCACAACAAACGCCAATGACAGGAGCTGTCTTTATGGGGTCCCCCAGCAGAGGCTTCCGATGAGCTTCTGACCAACAGAGCGTAAGAATAAAATACAGGGCTGTTTGGTGGATCCGATCCCCGCAGGTTCGTCAGCCAAGCCACCTCGTCCAGACTCTGCAACGACACAAGCCACACGCGAAACAGCCAAGGGCCAGGGTTTCGCCAGTCCACAGACCAACTCGTATAGGACTTTCCTAGGACCTATGCTCCTTCATTTAGCGACATGGCCAAGGGCCGCGTATCCTCCTTCTTCGTTCCGCCAGGCCCCAACCCCTAGCCCGTAACCGTTAAGCCTGAACCCTGAGCCGTGGTTAGTTACCGAAAGAAGCAGAAGGTCAGCACCCTCCTTAGCCATCGCCTCCAGCGTCTTTGTCACCTTCTCCCGTGTGGACAGACCTGCAAGCGCAACAAGAACGCTCAATTAAATTAATCCACTAGATCCAAACGTACACCTAACTAAATCTTTACGAGACCCTAGTTGAGCTGAGAAGGGCAGATTCCACTGCTGTGCTGCTGCTTGTGGTCTTTCGCAGCTTAGGACCGAAGGGGTTTTCCTGTTGCCCTGGCCCGGTCTGTTATCTTCCTCACCTCGATATTCCTTGGGGTGTACGTACACCGTGCTGTTCGGATGCGATGGTCGTAGAGAACCCCAGACTTCGTCCACAAGATTCTTCTCCAGAAGTACGACTTGTCTCCCTGCCGAGTCCTGTTTTTCCTAATAAGGGGAGAAGAAACGAATTCAGGGTTTGACATTCTGTTTTACAAGCTGCGGGCGAAGCACAAGGAACTGGCGGCAAGGGTTTAGGGTCTACGGCTACCTGTTGGGCTGTAGATCCCCCTCGTGCGAGGCTGAAGCCCGCCTCTCTTATTTGGCTGAGGAGCCCCAAGGAAGTTGAGAAGCCGTCTACGCCCAGTCGCCGAACTGCAGCACACACAAAGTCCTGGTATTACGCGCTTATGGTTGCATGCATTGCTTCAGATGCGCCAACGAGCTGCGGGTTGCTGCGAAATGTGCTTAACGTGAACATTTTCCGTGTGCCCCCTCGAGGTGCAAAGGAAGACAGGGCTCTGTGCAATGTGCTTCTGCCGCGGAAAGGACAGCGAAGAGTGTACAGAGGGATCCTGTGGGGCGGTTCGTCATTCAGCTTGAGGAGGCTGTACTGGGGATCCTCGGTGTCCTCCCTGACTTTGGGGGTTTTGTCTCAGGAACTGCGACAGGGTCGGCGTGTTGCCGAAGTCTGACTTCATAAGCCGCCACAAGCCTTGTGGCAGCTGCTGCTCTGCCTGGGCGAAATATCTGAAAAAACAAATAAAGACATCGCAACAGGCTCCACATATACCATAGATGAACGTGAGAAACACCCAGGCCGATAAACACGGTACACATTTCAATGCGTTCAAACGTCTCTCTTCATTTGCCTGTGGTTTGAAGACTTGACAAAAGTAAATCGGTATACATACCATATGCATGCACAGCAAGCACTGACGCTTCCAGGTGCAGAGTCACTAGACGGATCATACGACAAAAACGAGAGTGAATCGGCAGATGAACAGTCTGTGTGCATTTCAGTTGGGCCTCTGACCTCCCATCAGTCCACAGAAGCGCCGCCTCCCGGGTAACCAAGGCCAATCCATTAGATCCACTGAAGGAAGACAAAAAAGTCCGCCGCGCGAAGGAACTCGCAGGGAGTTCGCTGCCATGCGCATCTGCATCGTCCACTATCATCCCGTCAAGCTGCTGTCCTTGTAGAAGCAGCCGTAAGGCTTCCAACCGCTTAGTAGCTGCAGCGGCATCCGCGCCTTTCTCCCCCATCGTGCTGTCGCTTGTTTTGCCGCTGCCGCTCCTTCTAAGTGAAGAGTAAGGCCGAAGCTTCGGGGACAGGTAAGCGGCAAGAGAAGGGTCGAAAGGGACTGGAAAGCCGCCCGAGAGGGAGGCAGCAAACGAAAAGTCAGCGACGAAGCAGCTACGAGCGACAGACACACACAGAAACGCGCGGCCCCATATATGCCGCATCGGCATCACCTTCCCTGGCCTGCCAATTTTGCTGCAGCTGCTATTGTTGATGCTGCGTCTGCTCGAGTGCGGGGAAGCCGCAAGACAGCGCCTATCGGCGTCACGAGACAGCCGCTGGGGGTTGCGGGACAAGAAGGAATATTTGTCGGGATGCTGAACTAATACACAAGCAACTATTGAGAAAATCAGACCGAAGACGCAACTATCCTGTACGGTCTACTGCTTCATTGCATGTACTCTGCTGATGCCGGGTAGGCCGAGCATAGATTGGCGGCTGCACACACCACAGATAAGACTGCACCTAAGGGCGGTGGTGCTCTGCCTGCATTCCATATAAGAGTTCCACGCTGCGGCAATGTGCTAAGAGTCCGGTTTCGGTGGCCTGCAGATGGCATCAGGCAGGCGCATGCATGGCAGTGGCTGCCACCGACCCGGGGGCCCCCGATGTAACTCAAGTCCCTGCTAAGCATCGGGCTTTGCTCCTCCCATCCCTTGTTACTTATAAGTGTATTTAATAAAGCCAAAAGCTAGGCGTTTAAGTGCTGCACCGACTGCCTTAGCTTGCCTCAAATACTCTCAAGGCGACGAAACGGCGGCGGCAGCAGTGTTGCCAACAGCCGGGAGGAGCGATAGCCCGAAAAACGAGTCGCCAGCAGCAGCGACGGCAGTAACGTGGAGGATTAGGCCCTGAAGGGGCACTAGATGGCGTTGGTTGGATCCTTTAGCATAACAGCAGTGGCAGCGTCTGACCTTCCATTGTTACGCAGCCGGGAGAGCAGCAGCAGAAGCAACACCAGCAACAGCACCCGCCAAAGAGAGGCCAGCAGGAGTTTCGGCAGAAGCTGATATTGGAGCTGTTTTAACGACAGCATCAGGAGTTGTAACAGTGGCTGTTGCATTTTGGGAGATGACCGAGCGGTGGATTTCTCAAAAGAAGCATTTCTGCCAGATATGCAATACGTGGCTGAGCGGACACATTGTGGTCGGTATACTAGCTACTGCGGCAGCGTTGCTGCGTCTTCTGTTCCTTGTGCTGTTGCGTTCCCTGAAAATGCTTCTCGCCGCTCGCGCAACTCTGCAAGCATCTCTTTTTAGCTTCGCTTTTATGCTTTGTATTGCCAGATGCTAAGGGCTTAAAGCTGTAAATTATGGATCGAGTGTTTGCGCGCAGAACGTGAAAAGGCATGAGCAATCGACGCGGCATTTGGAAAATGCGCGACAGCAGCTCAAGGACGCGTATCAACGACACCAGGAGAAGGAAAAGCACGAGCGGATGTTGGAAAGGGAGCTGCAGCAGATGGAGGCTGCTGCCGCTGCTGCCATGCGAAAGGATGAGGCACAGCTGACATCTCGCGGAGCCGGAGGCCCCCCTAGAGGGCTTGGTCCCTCAGCCTACGAACAGCTTCAGGCGCAGCGGGAAGAGAAGGCAAGAATCCAACAGTTTTACGATCAGAGGAATTCACAAGCCTGTACGTTGCAATCTTTATGCACTAGGGGTAAGGATTAAGGGTTTAGATTTTGGGCTTTGCATAACAGTGGATGGCCTTTGTAGGGCATTCACTAAGGGGATGATTCTGGCAGTTTGCGTGTGCTCAAATGCACTGCAGCAGGTGCAGCACAGGCGGCTGTCGACACTGTCAGCCAAGCCAGCAGCAGCAGCAACAACGGCGACGCCTGGGAGTTTGTCACGGACCAGGGGCTTCCTTTTTTCCGGAATAAGATAACTGGGGAGGTTTCTTGGACGCCACCCCCGGGGGCCAGTTACCTTGCAGCGTCGGCAGCAGCAACGGCCGCCGCTGCTGCTGTACCTGCAGCGGTCGCTGCAGCTAGCGCTGCAACTACAGCCGCTGCTCCGTCACGCCCCACCCTGCGGATCCTTTCGGTGAAAAAGCCTGTGAAAAAGGAACAGCCCGGAGGGGCGGCACCCGTATCTCCGCCTACTGCTGCAGCATCGAATGCCGCAGCACCTACTGCTGCAGCACCCACGGGTGCAGCACCCACGGCTGCAGCACCTACAACGCCTGCTGGCTCTGAAAGACCTATGGGCGGTGCATGTGCAGGCCCTGCTGCAGCCGTTGTGAAGTCTGCTGCTAGTGAATCATCACCGACTAATGCTTCTATAGCGCCAGCCCATGCTGCGCGTACTGCAAGTGCTCCTGATACCCGTGATTGGGTTGGCGTTGCTGCTGATGCACCAGGTGCTGATGCCCCTGCTGCTGCAGGTGCGCCTGTTTCCGACGCAGCTTCTTTACCTGTTAAATGTGAAATGCCTGACTTCATCCCTTCGAACAGCAGCAGGACGAACAGCGGCAGCAGTGCTATCCCTGCTGGTTACGTGTTCAAGAACGGCCACAGGGGCCTTGGCTTCTATAGGGACCGACCGCTACAGCAGCACCGCCGCCACCAGGATGAGCAGCAGCGGCGGGGCCCTTGCAGCCGCCCGCTGCAGCACCAGGGGTGGCACGCACAGCAACAGCAACAGCGGAACACCCAGCAGATACAGCAGCACAAGCAAAATTGGCAGCAGCAGCAGCAGCAGCACATGCAGCATGAGCGACAACGGCAGAAGGAACTAACGACTCCCTGCAAGCGGCCTCGGGAAGAGGCAGACGGAGAAGCTGTTTCCCCGCCAGTAGATGCTGCTGCTGCCATTGCTGCTGCAGCAGCCGAAGCTGCAGCAGCAGCGGCGACTCTCTGGGGATCTGGGGAACCAGCCACTGAGGGAAACGACAGCATCAGCAGGAAGGGTGGGACAGCAGCATGTGCAATAGAAGCTGAGGAGGGCCTCACTGGGGCCCCAGCAGACGCCCTCCGTGGGTCCCATAGGGCAACGGCTGATGAAAATGATCGTGTGGCTAATGATGACAGCCGCATATCAGACGAGCGATCTGGAGGGGACAGTGACAGTTCGGAAGAGTCAGAAGGTGAAACGGAGGATTCAACAGATGCCGCTGCGGCAGGAGAACCAGCTGCGGCAACATCGCAGAGGCAGGTTGTGCATGCTACTGAGGGCCCTGTAATCGGTCCTTGGGTGGAAGCGAAGGAAGATGGTTGGGATGCTATCGCCCGCAGGCAGAAGCAGGAACAAGAGCAGTTGCTGGCGCTGCAGCAACAACAGGAGGAAGCGTTGGAGCACGACGACGAGCGGCAAGTGAATGCTGGTGGTGAGAGCTTTTGTATGGCCTTTCCCGCCTGCCTCCAATCTCTGCCAGTTTGCGAGTTAAAGTCTCAGGATCGATGTATACGGTACAGAGTGTATGGTGTGAGGTTTATTTTCAGTGGAACAACTACGGCGACTACGAGCCCAAGTGAAGCGTCGGGGCGTTCACCACGACTTCTCATGGCAGAAAGACGTGGAGGCAGAGTATAGCAGCTGCAGCAACGGCAGCAGCAGCACCAGCGGGCAGAGCATTGAGGTACGAATGCCCTGTCGTTGCAAAACTGCCTGTTTTTTGATGCATGTTCGCTTATCTTTACTCTTGTCTTATTCTGGTGGCATGTGCTGCTTCTTCTCGCCTCGCTGCACCCTTGATGAGTCATCGTGGGATCTCTTTCGCTGGGCCTTGGAGTGTAGGCAGACTTTTGTTAGCTTAGTTAAATAGGATTGCGGGAAAGGGCTACACATATGAAGCGCCTGTCTTACGTCTTGCTTGGATGCCTTCAGATTCGCAATCGTCAGCGCCCTGCTGCCTCCCGGCAGCAGCAGGAGACCGAGTGACTGTCCGTGAGTTCATCTTCCCGTGCTTCGCATGGGACCCAAAAGGGCAGGTGACACATAATGCGGGGGACGGAATGGCTTGGAGGCAGCAGCAGTGGCAGCAGCAGGACCATCAGAGTTTCTGGCAGCAGCGAAGCAAGCAATAGCAGCAACACGAACGGCACGTACAGCAAAGCAGCAAGAGCAGCTGCAGGGTCTGGAGAGACAGCAGCGGCTGGCGACACCCCTTTTAATTCAGCCTCAGTCGGGGAATCTTTGGCGCGCACCGACTCTTGTCAAGGGTAGCGTTTTCCTGTAGATATTCTTTGTTAGTTTTCCGAGTTTAGGTAGCTAGCCAGAAGGGTCACTTCCGAATACCTATCGGCTGAAGCCGCACACGATAGTCATGAAGCTGTTGGGGCGGGGAGCAGGATGCAGCAGCAGGCACTTGCATAGCAATAGCTGTGAAGGCGCGACACGATCTCTCACAGCACTCTAGCAAAGCGTAGTTAGCTTTCTCCGCAAGGAGCCATGCCGATACCGGCAATGTAAGACGCCCATCTCCGCTATGGATATGGCCAAAAGTTATACGAAGAGTTCTGATGGGACGAAAGAATTCTGGGTAGTGTAGAATTGTCCACACTGCCTTCATGTATATATATATATATATATATATATATATATATATATATATATATATGGGCACTTTTACATGTATGCAACCGCTTAGGCCATTAACCTCCCCATCCACTGCTGTCGTGAAGGGCCTCGCTCTGAATGAGTCATCTACATTCAGCCGCAGCTCTCAAAGAGGATCCCACAACGTTCAGCGCTCACCTACGAGTGCAATATTGCGCAAACGGGGAGGCCGAGTATATATGCTCAACTGCGCGAGCCCACCCGGGTCACCTTATTCGGAATAGCTTCTCGAAGGAAGGAAGTGTATCTGTTCTTATTGTTACCTCTAAAGCGAACGGCGTGCATATGCAGCCACACAAGTCAGCTTTTGCTGTACTTGTTGCTCTTCAGTTTTTAGTGGGCATGAATGCGCGTCATCTTGCTTTAACTTCGCCGCTGTTAGCCACCGTCTCTTTTCCTGGTTTCATAACGAACGGAAAGTCCCAAAGCTGTGGACACACCGTGCAGGGGCGCCTGGAGCTAGATGAGGCGCAAGGGTCCCCTGGGTGACCACTGCTACTCGCCGTGCCCGGATTGTAGGGGTACGAATTTGGGCCTTAACTCAGCAGAAGATCAATCTGAGTAGCGTATCATATGGAATAATTGAGGAATAAACCTTAGTGCTTGGCGTTTACACGCCTACGAAATGACAGTGGTAGGCGCTGACGGGCGGCTTGGTAGGCTCATCGTTTGAGTTTTGCTGCCATTACCTCCCTCCGGAGGTGCCTTCTTCTTTGCTCAGCTGACTTGTTGAACAATATCACAAAGCTATATCTATTAAACATTTTTAAGCGAGACAACTGGGGTGTAACGGAGCCTTCCGTTCCGCATGCGCACGCTGAACGGGGACATCGCACGGCTCTGGCTGCGTTCAGACCAGGCATTAATTCTACTCATATGCTGTCTTCTGTGTTTCCCCTTTGTTAATTTGGCACAGAAGATTCAGAGCATTGACTGTGTGCTCCTAAGCCACTGGGCAGGAGCCGTCATGCCTGTACCGTTGAGCTGCCCAGTGCCCGTCGAGCCTCTTTGACCTTCAACGCCTAGCACTTAAGCAGCACGTTCCGCAGCAGCGGCGAACTACCATGAAGGAGAGCAAGAGCTGCAATAGCAGCGATAGCGACAGCTGCCACTGCAGCAGGTACTGCTGCCACACTGCTCCCGATTTTGAAGCTAGCTGTTCTAACCTCACAAGAAGCACGAGCACCAGCACCACCTGCAGCGGTACCATTGCCAGTAGCATCAGCAGAGAGTGCAGCAAGGGCAGTAGAAGCGGCAGTCTGCACCAGGAGGAGGAGATTGAGGAGTTTATCTTTTCTCGGAGTGGCAGCACGGAGGAGCGCAGCAGCAGCAGTACTGGCGGGGGCGAAGACAGGAATGGCGGCAGGGCCCGGCGAATCAAAGGCGTTTTTTCCAGCGTATTGAGTCACTATTGGGCAGTGGGCGCTTCTTTTAGATGGGGCCGTCGCCGATCCTCCACGATCGGCGTCTCCTGTCTCTTTTACCTGCTGCCTTGTTTTGCGCTTCCGTTTAGCAGCAGCAGCAGCAGCATCAGCGCGAGGAGAGAGTTGGAGTCGTATATGTGGAGTTTGGTGGCCGTGGCATCTTTCTTGTCCGACTTTGTCTTCTCAGGGCAGCGCCACCATTGGGGAGTCCGTGCTGTTCACATGACAGATCGGTGGCTGGCATCATTCGCGCTTATGCTGCAGTGTCTGTACAACTTGCCCTTGTGGTTTTCGGTTTCATTCTACGTGGGGAACTTGGGGCTGATTTTCGTGTTGTGCTGCTGTGCCCTTAAGGCCCGCAGTACTTTCGCGTCTTCCTATGAGGAGTACGTCTGGACCCACACGGCTTGGCACGTTGCAGGGGCAGCTGCAAGGTGTGTCATGGCTTTCCTAGAGGGGCACTAAGGATTCATTCTTCGCCAATGGCTGCTACTGCTGTTGGCCGACGTGAGAAGCCGTCCCCTACGGTAAACGGTGACATGGATTTGGCGCTTTTGTCACCTTAACAAACATTGACAGCAGTATCGCCTGTGAAGCGTATGGGAAGTCGCCACCTTGAACTTAGTTGAGGCATCCGGCAGCAACACGTTGTGCACATTGTGCAAGATAAGCAGCGGGCTATGGTGCAGCTGCTGCCGGTTCCGTTGCAACGGACGGGAAGACGGCTTGTGCTACAACGGCACGATTTGAGGCCCGTCTTGAATCCAAAGACACAGCAACAGCAGCAAGAACACGCCTACAGCGGAAGCAGCAAAGGTTGCGGCTGTTCCAGTGCTACTGCTGCTGTTGCTGCCGTTGGCCAAGCCTCTGCAGACGATGGCCGCTATGGCTGACAAAGTCGAGAGTTTCTTTCGACGTTTGAGGGAAATGTATTTTGGTTGTGAGATAGAATGCTTCTCTTTGAGGACTCAGAATTAATACACCGCAACTACCAAGCCACATTTAGTCGTGATACGGCTCAATGAAGAGCTTCCTGCAAAGATTACTAGGCTAGTGCACATTGGACTATGCAACTATGCTTCCACTCCACCATGGGGTGGAACAGGGAATTTGGTTCTCTGGTCGGGGGATTTTGACTTAAGTCGTCATGCTAAACCTAGAACCAGTAACGGGACCCTGTAGGTGTGTAGTTGGCCGATAGGGGGTGTTTTCTAGGTCTTTAGGGCGCAGGAACTGTTAATTGCAAGCAGTGAGCAGTGAGCAGTGCGCATCTTTTGCTTTGTTGTGCACCTGGTAGGGCCGCTGGTCGCTAGTTACAGTCATACAAGCGGAGAGGAGCACATATCGAAGGAGACAGCTGGATGCCAACACAATTAGGACACATGCAGACCGTGCATGAACGGATTGGAAGCCCTTATTCTTATGCCGCAGACTCCCACAACCCTCAGTTTTAGTCCAATCTAATGCGGTTGGCTTGAGGAAGGTCATGAGGTCTCCTTTGTAGCCCAGTTCGGAAGCTGGCAGGGTAGAAACAGAAGCGGAAGCGTACATGTTTTAGAGAGAGACAGTGAGGCAGCATTAGCATTGGAAATTAAGACCAGAAGGCACGGACTGCGGAGCAAAACTTGTTGTAGGTGGTTGGGTGTATGTATCCGTATGTATTTTGCCCACTGGAAGCCGAGTTTGTGCTTGACAAGTAACTACGGTCTTAGTACATGATCCTAAGGGCTCATGCTTGCATCTGCGGTTACCTTGCGGCAGCAGTAACCCCGAGGAGTGCGGCAACTCAAGTAGGGCCACCAAATGTCACCGACAGGGCCCTATGGTGCTGTTATCAGTACGCCTGGAAACAAGCAGGTAGACCAGCTATTTTCGTGAGTGGAAGTCCAGTATTCGAAGTTTTGGGAGCCCATTTTACAGATCGCGCGGGTCCTACAATCACGTCAGTAATTGAGGCGACGGAAGAAACAACTCAGTGCTAAGGGACATTGCGCATGTGCAAATGAGGAACAGCTGGAAACTGGAGAAACATTAAGAGGCTCATCAGGGAATGCAACCTTAACTCGCGCTCTTCTTGATCTGCGACATATGTCTGCATCTGCTCACAATTACCACACTCCCTAGCAGCAAAACCCTTTATTACTTGTCCTACTTCCACCCAACACTCTGCGAGCGCCGCCTTGTAGAGCGGCAAGGGCTACGCACATTTGTAACCATCGGGATGAGGAGGTTCGGCGTCGCGCTGTTGTATACGGGAGAGATGGGGCTGCATGAG